AATAAATAAGTTAATGTCTAACTTACAGTTTTTTTTTTTGTCGATAAACTTATCAATCCTTTGCTGTGAAAAAATGCTTGAACTCTTTTAAATTTTCCCGTGTTGAAATCGTTTCTTTCGCTGTTGTGATATTTATTTTTCAACGTAAGTTCTTTTTATCCGTTCGAATCCTCATTGCCACTGTTGAGATGTTGAGTGTTTCCGCGTGCGTGTATTGAAATAAGGATAAACACATACGTAGGGAAAAATATTGGTATATCTGAAGAGGTATTTACAACAGAGAGATTAGTAGTCAAACGAACACAGGTTAGTCAGTAACAATCAGAAAGAGTATAAAGTCGAACTGTATCTTCCGGTAGAGAGACGGCAGTGTGATGGTCACCTGATCTATCAGAACTCTCTAGAACTGTCCTATTAGTAGTAGAGAGATCAGTCCATTCTGATGAGAAGGTGGGTGGCCCCAACAGTGTGTATATATATGTGTGTGTGTGTGTATGTATGTATGTTTGTATATATGTATTTTTGTGTATAAATATATGTATGTGTGTGTGTGTTTATATATATATATATATATATATATATATATATATATATATGTGTGTGTGTGTATATGTATATATAATAGGTTCACCGTTAGGGTTGATTTTTCACTTTTTTTAAATTATCAAAAAAGAATAATGTTTAAAGTTGTGTATAGACCTATTAAGTACTGATACAAAAAATTAGATCTGACACTTCAACTTTGAGCATTTGGCATCAAAGATTGTAGACAAAGATGCACTGAAAAATCCTCGATTTTGCTAGTTTTGCTCTAAATATTGATGAGAAAACCAAACAATTTTGGTATTTAAATCAGAGAATGTTGTTATTTTATTTTATCAAAAGGAAATAAAATGAACAAATTATAACTAAACTTCAAATTGAAAACCTGAAAAAATTATCAGTGACAGCTTCGAAATGCTGTTTTTTTATCCCCTGAATTAAGCATTAATAGTTGAATACATTAAAAAATTCTATTATGAATGAAGATACGACAAACAAACAAACAAACAAATATGGAAAAACAAATAAGTTTAATTGGGCTTAATATATAGTCAAATAGCTCCATATAAGAGCCCTTAGATGAAAATGATGGTCTCAATTTCTGACACAAAACTTTTGCTATTATGTGCTGATACCTTGCTTCAAGCCCAAACACAGATTGGAAAGCTTCTGTTAACTTGATTGCCCGTTCCATGCCTTGTGGAATGTGAGTGCAAATCTGGCAAGTCAAGCTTTGTACTATTTAATAATGATTCCTGAAGTTTATTTTCAGAAAATTCTTCTGTGAGTGGTGGTTCACAAACTCCACTTAATGACAGATCTATTAACTGTGTCAAGTGCATAGCTTTAAAATTGATAGTTGTGATTCTTTTTAATCTTTTCTTCGCTGGCTTCCCACTCCTGAAAGAATATAAAAATTAATTTGAGTTATTTAAAAAAATGCACTCTGTACTGCTTTAATATTTATGGTGAAATTACATAAAATACTTAAAATGATGCTATAAAGATCATCAAAAGAACCTAATGGAAAAACAAAGGAAACAAGGCACACACATAACCCACCAACATCTAAAAAATGAGAAATTGCCAATATGTGTTCCATGCCAGGAACCATATACTATCAAACACATTCTACTAAATTGTTGTAATTTCCAGCAAACCTGAATCAAACTATACAAATCAGATAACTTAAAGGATCTATTTGAAAATATCACTCCAAATAACATCATAAATTTCATTAAATAAATTGGGCTCTACAGGAAAATATAAAAAGAAAAAAAACTGTTTACAAAATCTGCTTATCTGCATTGTTTTGTAACCTATTTTGGAAGAAAAAATTTCCAGCAATACATTTGACTCTCTACAAAATCCCTTTTTATAATCTATGTCAATGAAAACTGTTCTACAAAATGATTCCTTACAAAGAATTCATACTTTATTCATATAAACCTATCAGAAAAATCTTGTTAGCATAAAATAACCCTACAATGTTGATATGACATTAAACTAAATAAACTAAATTTTAAGGTGAGCAGAGTCTGTTCTCATTCCTCTCCAGGGAAACGAAGAAAATCTTTTCACCACCACATATTCTTCACCAGCTACATGAGAGAGTACAAATATACTTTGTGACAATGTCTGGGTTCTTTATTTTTTTTTTTTTTTTAATTTTATAAGAAGAAATAAATTTAACAACTCATGTTTGGGAAAGTAGAAATAAGCATTGAATTTTTATATACATTTAAAGAAAAAAGTCTTTATAAGACTATTAGTGAAATGATCACAATTTTGTTCCAGGAACTTATTGGAGATGGAGAGGCAATTGAGATGGGATATAACTAACTCAGAAATAAGGAAAAAAGAAATTTTTTTTTTTTGTGTATGAGAAGGGATAAATTTGACTATTCATATTGGCATGGGAGTGTAGCTGAGATGACAGATTACATACAAAACAGAAAATGATTTATTTTGTTCATATTGAGAGGAGGAATAGATTTGAACTGAAATTTAAAGGAAGAAAGTCATTTGGTTAACTACATAATTGAAATAAAAAACGTCAACAATGCTTAAAAAAAACAGAAAATTGTCAAGAAGAATAAAAATTTTCAAGAAAAGTCAGAATATTTGTATTTTTATGACAAAGGTAAACTGGGTTGCCAACTCCAAAATGCGGCATTGTTCTGCATTTTGAGAATTTTGCTTTTTTAGAGATGTACTTAATGAACACAGACAACTCCCCCTCCTCTTTCACATCACTCAAAATTATCAAACTGATTTAATTCGGCTTTGTTGTTCTGTGCATCCCCAAACCTATTTTTCCGGGCAGTCTGTGGACCCTTTGGCTGAGAACCCATCCACAGGATTTGTGACCTGTTGTATCTCAGCCTTAGCATGAAATGATCCTTCTGTATGTTTGAGTTTGAGACTCTTAGTCTAGAAGATTTACATAGTAACCTACCATATTTGGAACACAAGTAGGCTCATCTTGTATACAATTGAGAAATCAAAGCCATGTCTACCTTCTTTATCAGTTTTATTTGAGTGGACTAACCAATTCTCATAATGAACATTGAAGTTGCCACATGTAGGAATACTAGATGAGTGATAGCCAGGCAGGATAACATCAATCCCCTCAGCTACTTAGTCAAACATCACAATTCCATCAACCATAGAAAGGACATATGAACAAGGGCCACGTAAAAGGACATGAATGGAAAGTTGGGATCTTTGTGGTGTCTTTGCCATATGGGAATCCAATGATGATAAGATTCCAAATATCTGTCAAGATGATTTAGAGGTTTAATGATTAAAGAGGATTAGCCAGGGATTGTGAATTCTTATACTTGGATAGATTGGCTTAGACCAGAAAGAAACATGAAGTCTGGTTTGACTTCTTGAAGATGAAATTCAAATTCTGGGAAGTTAGAATGTAAACTCTTTATATTTGGTGTAGGTGATGGAAAAAATAAGGATTTTTTTTGATTTGGCAGAATCAGGTTTGATTCATTTGTTTTTGTTTCATTTCATCTGACATGGTTCACTAGGGATACAAAGTGAACACTCAATGTTGCAAAATATCAACAACCAACAAATAGTATATGTAAACTATTTAATTTAACTGTCAAAATGTATAGCTATAATTGTACAGTTCATTATGGTATTGCGAGGCCCTACTAGAAACTATTATTGGTGGGGATGATGAATATAGAAATTAGGTGTTGAATGACAGTGTAAGAATGAAAATGGAAATTGGAATGTAAAAAATGGTTAAGAACTGCCAGCATTTAATAGATAATGTTTAATTTCTATTATTACTCTTACCTAAAAATTGAAAACAATAGTAAAAAAGATAAGTGATCAGAAGCAAAATATCTCTTAAAACTAGCCTGATCCAAAGAGGAAGTTATGATTATTGTTCTATTATCCCAATCATTGCTTTTAGGTCAAGTGTAATGGCTGGCCAGTGATTGCAAATATTCACCTCAGAATTTGTTTTTACATTTTAAGGAGGAGTGAAGCTGAGTAAAACATTCTGATATTTTTTTTTTTTTTTGTATCCTTCATTGTTGATATTTCCAATGTGCAACTCCTCTCCAAACTGAATTACATTATGTGACTTTAACAAGTTTGTTTTTCATGGTTTATCAAACCCTTTGAAGGTTAATTAAAACTGAAACCTATTTTGGACTGTAGGAGCTTACTTACAGTACTGGTGTTTCCAAGCACCCCCTACCTCTAAGTCCTGACTGGGCTTAATTTCGGTGATTGAACTGTTCTAGGAAAGCACAATAATAATAAGTATTTGTAATCATTTTTTATTTTTATAATTAGGATGATTTTTTTTTTTTAAAAATACATTTTAGAAACATTAATTCTTTATATAATTCTGTTTTCAATTAACTTTTTATTGGTCTTTGTGATTATCTTTTCTCTTTTAATTTTAGGTGGATTCAGACTTAGAAATTAAAGCATACTATGCAGGACATGTGTTGGGAGCAGCGATGTTCCACATCAAATCTGGCCAGCAATCTCTTGTTTACACGGTCAGTTTGCCAAGTTTTAATTGATTCACTAAAATGGTTTAAGAAAACACTTTTTGGACAAATTTGTCTGCTGCTTTTTCAGTTAAAACAATATGGAAATTTTTTTTTTTTTTTCAGGGTGACTATAACATGACACCAGATCGACATTTAGGAGCTGCTTGGATTGACAAGTGTCGTCCTGACCTACTGATTACAGAATCAACATATGCAACAACAATTCGGGATTCTAAGCGTTGCCGTGAAAGAGATTTTCTTAAAAAAGTCCACAGTTGTGTAGAAAAAGGAGGAAAAGTAAGTTAGTCACAGTATAATATTAAAACTTGGGCTTTTCCCTTTTGTTTTTTAATTGTCAATTTCAAAACAACTTGACATTTGTTGAAGGAATTTAGGAATTTTAAATAAAAAAAAAAAAAGGCTCTAAAATCTAATTGTGCAACGTGGCTGTTTCATTTGTTTCTTATATCAAAATCTCAATTGCCAGGAAAAAGTAAAAATAATTATTATTATTTTAAAACCTTATAGACATGATGCATTATCAAATCTTAAAAATTCCGTGTCCACTTCTGGATCAAGTGTGTGTGTGTAGAGATCCAATCTATCTTATCTCTTTATTAATACTTTCCTTTTAACTTCAGATGAAAAAGAATTATTTCAAAGATGGTATACATACAAACTTTGAGTAATGATCAAAATTAGATTAGTTTAGTATGAGTTGACAAATTAGAATCCTCTTGAAGGATTTACCGTAATTTTTTTTTTTTTAAATTAGTTGACATTTGAAATATATCAGATGCTTCTGTATTGAACTATTCTTGGTTGCTTTTGGTCAAGAAGCAGCATTTACATTTGATATGGAAGGCAGTTAATATTTTTGGAAAATTTTGTATTATTTAAAAAACCTTGAATATGCTTGAAAAAAATGATGTAACTTTAATCTCTGCTTAAAAGAAAATTAGTAGAAAATTTTCTTGTGCAAACCTAAAATAATTCATGTTGGCCTTTAAATAGCAAAGGATCACAAATTAAGTGGTTATGTTAAAAAAATAAAAAACAAAGTGAACATTTCAAGTAGTATTGAGATTTTTTTCATGGGTCTGTTCGTCATTTTGTACCAGGACAAAATGAGCTTTGACAGGTAGGTGGCCAAGATTATGCTGTGTACCAGTTTTGTTCTCTGCCAAAGGTTTCTATAGTGATATACCTTTTCACCCATACCACTGTTGAGTAGAAGGCATATTCCACATTGTTAAAAAGAAGTTTGTTTAATAAACAGAAGCCAACAAATTATTTTGGTTGAATAAAACTTTAACTAAAGGCTTCTCTTTATTTTTTCACTTCAATTTATTCAAACAGAATAAAAATAAAAAAAAATGAGATGTTTATTGAGACCTGAGAGATTAGATTCAGAGGAACTTGCTCCTAGTGGTTATATTGTGTCTTGCTTAGGCTTCTCATGTCATTAGAAATTCTCCTTGACTGATTCCAATGGATTTCACTTGACTAAAGTTCTTTAAGGTGTCTTGCCTAGTTCATTTGTCAGACTGGGGGTGTCTTATTTACTCTACAACATCCCTACTTTTGAGATTTTTTTTTTTCCATTAGTAAATATTTTATTTTATATCTTAGTATTCAACCCACCACTTCCTCTTTCTGGTGAGTTCACCAACATACTGAACTTTGTATTTCTTTCATTTTGGGTCAACCATCAACCTCTAGTTTTTCCATACATTTTCATTTTCTGGTAATCGTACTTGTATGTTCAACAAATTCTTGGGGTGTTGGTACGTCAAAAATATCATACAGTATTTTCATAGGTTCTTCCTTTCTTGTGGGCCTTTCTTCAGTAAACTGTTTCTTTAATTGATTCCAATGTCTTTTGTTTTCCCATTTTTATCCTTTCACTATATACAGTGGAACCTCGGGTCATGAACGCCTCTCATTATGAACAAATCGGTTCACAAACAAATTTTCTGGACAAAAACAGTCTCAGATGACAAGTGGTGTTTTGAGTGGCGAACATTAAAGCCAGCGACAAACTGGGAGTCTCAGTGGGTGATCGTCATTTGCGGTGTAGCTTTTGCTCCGTACACATCCCTGCTTACATTTGTTGTGGCTTCTCTTAAATTTTATTTTTCTTTATAAATTATTAAATAAGGCAGCATGAGGCCAAAGAAGAATAATGATGGTAGTAAAAGGAAAATAGAAATGAGTAGAATCCCGATTGAGATGAAGAAACAAATCATATCTGAAAATATAGTTACCTGATGCTTTTCATGGAAGGGGACTCCACTTACAAAAAAGATCTCTCTGCTTCTCCTTCCTCTTTTCACTTACACCATCAACTCTCCCCCTGTACAAGTACAGTAAAATTAAATTCAGTTTTTGTCTATATTTTATCTGTTTAATATAAATATATTAATATTGTGTATATTTTTTTTTTTTTGTTAGATTTAATGACTTTCATTGGTTTTGTGTATGAACTTGTACAGAAAATACCATTGTAAAAGTTTAAAGAAGCAATCATCTGGATTCCAGGAATGGATTAATCTGTTTTTCATTGATTCCTATGGGGAAAATAGTTTTGGTTTACGAACATTTAAGATCACAAATGGCCTTCGGGAGCAAATTAAATTTGTGAACCAAGGTTCCACTGTATATCATTTTTCCAATTCGTGAACTTATGCCATTTTCCCACATTTTTCCATTTTAATATACTCTGTAAAACACTTTTTCACCAAATTTGAAAAATTTTGTGTCCTTTTTGTTATCCATTCTTATTCTTTTTTGACCTGGTAACTACTTGTCGAACACAGATTTAATTTTTCTTGTGAACATCAATTCTGCCGGTGATAGCCTAGTGGTGTAATTGAATTTAGCATTATTCAGTATACCCTCAAGAACTTTTATAGTGCTTCTTCGCTCACTTTTTCATGGTGCTAAGGCAGGATAGTAATATTTAAATTTGTAAGCAATGAATTGTGTACTGTTATTCAAGACTATGGCATCCAGAATGCCATATCCTGCAAACAGTTTGTGTAAAAAATTCACTGTAACCATGTAAGTTGTTTTTTTCTTTTTTCACTTAGAAATTTCAGGGCACTTAGTAAAACTATCCACTACCACAAGATAATGTGATCTGTTTATTGGACCTGTGCAGTCTTGATCACAGAGTATCTGTCTTTGGCCAAGGTTGTAATTTTGTGGTAGGTGATTTTGTTGTCAGTGCTGTCAGTGCACAACCTCTGCAGGCTTTTACTAATTTTTTCAATATCTTGATCCATTTTGGTCCAGTATACATAGCTTCTCATAAGAGGTTTCATCCTTGAAATTCTTGGATGTCCACAATGAAATTCATTTAATATCTGCTTTTGTAATATGATAAATATTATTACTCTTTGTGCAAACATCAGTACTCTGTCACATAGCAAGTAAGTATTCAAGTCTGGATTGTGTTCTAAAAATTGCCTATCTTACTTTCTTTTAGCTGTTTTTTTTTTTATTATTATTGCAAAATAAACATGTCTTACTCTGTTTTTACTTTTATTTCTTCCAGGGTTAACTGGTAGTTTGTGTACTACATTGATAATATATTTCTATTTCACTTTTTAATGCTGTAATAATAGTGTCCTCAAACAGTTCAGTATTTTTTGGTATCAATCTTGATAACCCACCAGCATGTCTTAATTTTTTGAATGGTTGGTATTCCATCTTGAAATTGTAATTTAATAGGATGGTACCTCAACATTGTAATCTACTCACTGTATGTGTAGGAATTACTTTTTTCAAACCAGAAATTGATAATAGAGGACAGTGGTCCATCTGTAAATGAAAACTCTTTCCATGTATAAATTTGTTAAATTTTTTTCATTGCAAATATTATTGCTAATGCCTCTTTTTTGATCTGGCTGTATTTTTTTTTTTTTTGTCAGTAGTAGCGAACACGAAATATGTGCAATGACTTTCGTGATCAAAGTGCGCTAATGATAAGCCTGACGTTAGTATTTTCTTGATTTCTTCAAAATCCTTCTGACACTTATCTGTCCAGTTCCACTTTACACCTTTTTTTTAAGCAAATTGTTCAGTGGAGCTCCCAAATTATGCATATTAGGTATAAAGATTTGATAATATTTTGCTAAAAATTTGCAAAAATTTCCTCTGTACTCAATGGCTAGTTATGGGACTCTAAACATTTGTTTAACCCTGTCAAAAAGTCAGCACAAACATGAATTTTATTATTTTTTTTCTTTATATACACTGTTGGTGCTGCCCATTTTGAATGGTAAATCTTTTCAATTACACTTATTTTTTCAAGTTGGTCTAATTCTTCATTGAATTGATCCAATATTGTGTATGTTACACTACATTTCAGTTTAAACAATGGCGTTGACCTTTTTTAATTTGAAATTTTACTTTGACTTAATTCATCTGATAGAACATCCGGAAAACATTTTTTCAATTCTTCCTTTAAATTTTCACATTGTTTTTTTTTTTTTAAACTAGTAGCTTGTTTGCTTACATTTTTTGCAATAAATATTTTGAGATAAATCCCACAATTCAAATAATTCTATCTGATCAGTACTGAATATGTTTGTAGTATTTTTTAACACATAAGCCTTAGCTTTTACACACTTGTTGCAAAATGAAATGTTACAAATCATTTCACCAATGAAAAATAATTTCTTACCATGTGCGATTTTCAAAGTTCTTTTTCATGTAGGTTTTCCATTTGCTTTCTGTGTTGTTTCATTGATATCACTACCAGAGCTTAGTTGCATTTTTACATCCACATTATTAATTTTCACATATACAAATTTTCTTTGGTTTTCTGTAATTATTTTTTCTGTCGCAATATCAAACTATGCTGGATTCCTAGCCACATCAGAATTAAAGGTAATAATGAAGCTGATCTAGCAACCAAGTCGGATTTAGATGTGAATGTAGCTACACAGATTTTAAGGAGGTTATTAATAAATACATTGAAAAGGAATGGCAACAGTACTGGGATGTTAACTCACACAAACTTTTTGCAATCCAGCCCAAACTAGTAGGGTGGAAGTCAAATCCCAGAAAATATTGTAAGGAAGAATTTGTACTGGCCTGTGTATTCATTGGCCATATGAAAATAACCCACTGGTACTTACTAAACAAAGATCAACCAGTATGCCAAGCATGTAAAATAGCATATACTATTAAACATATATTAACTGATTGCTCAGATCTTGCTCTCTCAAGACAAAAAATACTATAATATAAACAATATGTATGAGCTGTTCAAGAAAGTAAAAGTGGATGATATAATTTCTCAAAACAGTAGGACTCTACCAAAAATTATAAACCAAATGAGAATGTCAAAATCAATTCCTCTACAAACTGTGTATTGGAAAAGAATAAATCAATGAAAGCACTCTTGACAACAACCCTCTTTACAAAAGTATATCAATGAAACCAGATCTACAAACTGTTTCCTTACAAAGAATATAGACTCTATTCATAGGAATCTATTATAAAAGTTTTGTTGGCATTAAATAACCCATTGAGGTTGATCTGCTGTAAAACAAACCAAATCTGCCTACAACCACTTGAAAAGGGAAGCCATCTTTTATAAGCAAGGAATTGCAGAGGTTTATAATTGGTAAGGGGATTGCCTATAGTAGGACCATGAGTTATAATCCTCAAGGAAATGGCCAGGTGGAGAAGTTCAGTGGAATTATATGGAGGACAATTACCATAGCTCTGAAATCACATGGTTTATCAGTTCTACATTTGTAAACAGTTTTGCCTGCAGTCCTTCATTCATTACTCTGCACAGCTATTAATATGACACCACGTGAGAGGTTTTTTTTAATTACTCCCATTGTTCATCAACTGGAGGTTCACTGCCCTCATGGTTATGCAACCCTTGACTCATTCTCTTTAAGTGTCATATTTGAATGAGCAAGATGGATTCTTTGGTTGAAGAGGTGGAACTTATTTAAAACAAAACCAAATTATATGCACATTCAACACCAAAATGCAAAGTGACTATAGTATCTATTAGACATTTAGCCCCAGTTCATACCTCTATTAATGACAAACCCCAAGAGATACCTGTATATGTTGTCAGAGATTATCCAGTTTTGCTGGAAAAACCTTTCAAAGCTACGTTTATCAAGCCAGGTAATACTCCACAAACCTTACTGAGGGAGCTGTAGTTTCCCAGAAGATATAGGTGTACATGTTGCCTATGCACCCGTTTGAATTTATAGCGATGAGAAATATTTTAAGGAGGAGGAGGAGAATATGGTAATATACCTTTTTACTCCTACCACTGTGGATTAGTATGACATATTCCACATTGTTACAAAGCGATTTTGTATTTAGTAAACTGAAGCTAACAAATTATCTTGGTTGAATAAAGCCTTAAATGATGATCTTTATTTTTTTCACTTCAGTTGCTTAGGAAATTATTTTATGTCTAATATCAATCTTTTTCAAATTCATCCTTTGTTGATTGGTACTTTGATTTATGGTTTACAAGTTTCAAGATTTGTTCATCCAGTCTGTTAATTACACATGCAGTTTCTAAAATTACTGCTTGAGAACATCTTAAAATCCTTTGTTTCTCTGTGTTCCAATTCAATTTCACGTTTATAATTCTTTTTAAAGGTGTTGATACCTGTGTTTGCACTTGGCAGAGCCCAGGAATTATGCATTTTGTTGGAAACATACTGGGAACGCATGAATTTAAAGGCTCCCATTTATTTCTCCCTTGGACTGACAGAAAAGGTAAAGATTTGTCAAATTCATTATTGATGAAATTCCTGAATTCTCCCTCTAGTTGTTTCCAAATGTTCTCATTTGAAATGAATAGCAAAACTTGAGTGAATATTCTATGCTTTTTATCTACGAATTAAGTTTGTGTATTTGCAAAATTTAGATTTTGCTTTTATTTCTGTTTTAGGCAAATCATTACTACAAATTGTTTATCACATGGACAAGTCAGAAGATTAAGAAAACTTTTGTTCAAAGGAATATGTTTGAATTCAAACATATAAAAGTAAGTTTTTTGTTGGATGACATGGGTGAAAGTGTTTATGGGTAAGTGTTTAAAAGTTAGACCTAAGGTTTTCATTTCTATTTTCAACATATGATGTTTGAAAGCATGTGCGATACCCTGCTCTCATCAGCTGCCAACCAGGGGAGGTAACACAGTTTCAGTGGCTAAGGTAGTACTGCCACCCCTTGTACCACTAGCAGCTTTTGTCACTGGACAGGTTATTGTTTTTTTTGTGCATATGTGATAGTCTCTGATTTTTTTTTTTTTTTCAACTGCAAGTCAGATTTTCAACATTGTGTTAAAAGTGTTTGCTTTTGATTGTTAACCAGTACACAACGCACTCGTAGCAACCATTATCAACGATGTAGAATGGAAGATAAACAGGTGTTTCACATTGGAAGTAGCATTGTGTTGCAAGCATGGTTTTTAATTTTGTTTATTTTGGATCTTGACCAGATCCAACCTGATGCCTGTTGAGCTGTGGTCTGGAGATGATGTAAATCATGCTTCATGCAAAAGGAAGGAAACAATTGACCATCCAAGGAATCCACGGCACCCAACCTCAATAGGTATCACATATGTTTACCCTTTTTCCATGCAGTCAGATTGCAGTGAGTTGTAGTGCTTTTTCTTTTGCTTGTGCACCTCCTCCCTGTTCTCTACCCATGGAACCATTAATTCTACTAGGACACACTTCTTTGAATCAGACCACGCTACAAAATTGGGGTGTGTCTGTCTGAATGATATGTACCAGAAATTGAAGAGGTATTCTAAGATCAACTAACACCCTCCAATCACAGGCTCCACCCACTAGCGTCATGTTGGGAGTTTTTTGGGTTTTCCACACAGGTTGTTCACCATCCTTTTGAAAACAGATCTTAGGTTCTCTGGCCGTTACAGACTGTTGGCTGCTTCACACTAAGTCCATGACCACTTCTATCACTTTATGACACTACATGTATATTTCTGTGAACATTTCTTTTCCTCTCTGCCTTTCATTGTAAAATGGACTGCTCCTGCTTATAAGTAGTCCTGTCTATACTAACTATTCATATTTGCTGAATAAAGCCTAAATAAGGTTTCTCTGTTACATGTCTTTTCATTACATACATCTGTAGTGATTGTAGACATGCATAATCTCCTTGGTTCACAGGCTAGATTCTGCTTCTTGGATAGTTTCTACTGCTAGTTTTGATATCTGGCTGTGGACGAATTCATTGGTCGAGTCCCTCATCATCATGTGAAGGTGTACCTTTGTGACCTAGAACCCCTCCACCAATGAGAAGATGGGAAGTTGCAGGTTTCTGGCATTGGTATGAAATCCCACTGTGGAGAAGGAGAAGGGAACTCCAAGCTACTTGCACAGGTACTTGTTGATACATTGTTGTGTCTGCTGAATGCAAAATAAGAGTAATATCATGCACCTGCAATGGCCACAGAAGCTGGAGCAGCAAATCATATTGGTAGCCTTCAGTTTGCCAGGAAGATGGGTTCTGTCGATGGATTCAAGGTCATCTATTGCCACTTTCTGCACCTCTTTACCTTGGTGCCGATCAGTCAGTGGAATTTTATACAGCCATCTGAGGCTCTCACACTAGCTTTTCTTTTGCTGTTAGGATCATGAAGTGAATCTCCTTGACAGAGCTTCTGAGTAATGATAAGCTTTGGATTTTCTTCATTCTCGCCTATGTTGAAGAGCTTATAGTAGTACTGTAGCTGTTCATCAGCACTGACCTTAAATAGGACCAGAATGGTAACGTCATCCATGAACACTCTGGAAGGAGGAAGGACCATTTATTAGTCATCACCCCCTTTGCTGTTTGCACTTGACCCCGTAATATGAGTTGCATGAACATAATGAAAAAAGTGGTGAAATCACATATCCTATCATGGTACTGACCTTGAGGACTTGCTAATTGGTAGTGTAGTTAACAATGGTGAACTGCATTAATGTTGCTCTGAAATGTTTCATTATGATTTCTCCAACCTTACTAGGGAAATTGAATAATTCAAGGGATAATCAAATTAGATCATGAGGAACTGATTCATATGCATTTGTGAGACCAAGTCAAATTACATGAAGCTCAGTTTTATTTTGTTTGGCTGATAGGATTGAGTTCCAAATCATGTGTGAATGTTCCAGACAGCTGGGGAAGCCAGGTATCCCAGCCTTCTGGATGGCTGTGTTTATATAATGGTTACCTAGTGTAATGTTTTTTATTTATGTTCTGTGGCAGTGTTGGCAATAAAATTTGGATGACTTATCACATTCAAAAGCTATTTAATCTCAGAGCTGTTTGTCCAGTTGCAAAAGTAAAATATCACAACAGCACCCACCTTTCATTGGTTGACTGATTGAGTATAAATTCTACTTAATTATTTAAGGCTGGTTGGGGCAGGAGAAGAGTGAAATTCTTCTAGTTTCACTCATGGTACAAACTAACAGTTGCTTTAGTTCATAAAAGTAAAAGCATAGCAGTAGAAAATTGCATTATTTCTTACTTACTACACAGATTTTAGAAGTCAAAATCTGACAAGATGTCCAAACGTCAAATTATTATTATTTTTTTTCAACTTGTGAAATTTCATATAAAAAGCCAAAACTGATTAATTTTCTTACTTTCAGCATATTTATTTTTCTAAACATTTTTAACATTTCAATTGTAGTTTATGGGTGAAAAATGTAAAATTTTGGTTATTTTGTAACCATAAAAGTATCAATTTTTAGGTAAGAATCATTTTCTGTTTTCTTTTTCAGCCATTTGATCGATCTTATATTGATAATCCAGGTCCAATGGTTGTATTTGCAACTCCAGGAATGTTGCACGCTGGTCTCTCTCTACAAATCTTCAGAAAATGGGCACCAAATGAAAACAATATGGTAAGAGGAATTTTGGAATTCACTTAAAAAATTGGGAATTTTTTGTTATGTTTTTGTAAAACAGGACAAAGAATTTGGACTTTTCTGTAACAAAAAAACAATCCAACAGGATCTTTGCTTATTGATGTGAATCTATGGGCAATTCACTTTTTAAATAAATTCTCCCAATTAAAGTAGCCAGATTTAAAATTTTGTGTTTCCTGCCTTTATAAGTTGTAAAAATGAGAATTGGTTGAGTTATTTACTCAATATTTCTCATTTTCCATGGGTTGAATTATTTTTCTTTACAATCAATAATTGACTCTTTTGCAGCTTATCATGCCTGGTTATTGTGTGGCGGGAACAATTGGTCATAAAGTTCTTGGAGGCATCAAAAGATTAGAATTCGATAAACAAGTGGTGAGTTAGCATTTCTCATTTGAATCAACATTTCTTATTAACTGAAACTTGGTTCTTTCATTTTTATTGTCATTTGTTCTTTAAACACAATTGCAATTATAATTATGGTTTTTCCCTTGGCTAAAAATTGGAGTTTGTTTTTAAAGTTTCAGAAGTTAACCTAAACAGTTACATCTCTCAATTTATTAAAACTAAAATTTAAAAAAAGGAATGGTGCAGTACTGCAAGCCAAACATCTGGATTTGGAGCCATTGACACCTAATTCTACAGATATTTATTTGTAAACATTGGAGAAAATATTTTGAAAATTTCTTGACTATTGTTTCTTGAACTCTAGTAAACCAGCCCCAATTTTCAGGTATTAATAAAATTCATGTACTTATACAGTTTTATTCTAGGTTGGGGAGACTTCAAGGCAAACCAATGGACATAATGATAGATATTAAAAACTCTGAAAGCTTTATTAATGCTAAAGAAACCAAGAATGTCGGTATAAGCTTTAGTCTAATCTCAGAAAGAATAATAATAGCTAGTCATATATTTTCCTCTAACACCCTCAGATATTATGTTGTATAATTAAAGCTGAACAGCAGAGCATATGTTGTCAGATTGTGTCTCAGAGCCAACCTATGTAATGATGTTATTCTTGGACTTGGCTATTAAAGTCACATTCTTTTATAGAAATAGCATTTGGTTGTCTTTTTCCACCACTTGCTATGTGCATTATCTAGCATGCTTTCTAATTTAACTTTTTCTTACTATAGCAGTAAAATCCTGAAGATACAGTATGCTTAATTTACTTGGTTGGAGGTCACTTGTATGCTGAAGATAGTAACCTTTCTTGGGCCTCCTTGGTGAACTCAAATACTAGCAATTATTCCTGAAAATCACAAAAATAATATTTGACTATTTTCAAACTATAAACAAATTCATTGTCCTGGATAAATATCCTTTTGCTTGAATTGAAGACATGGTGAATGAGCTTGCTAGTCACCATGTCTTCAGCACTTTTGATGATTACATAACAAATAAATAGCTATCAAAATGTGAGGAAAGAATATATGCTGCATTCAGATTCACTATATCAATTTTGTAGAATCGCTTTTGGAATGACTGGCCAGTTTCCAAAGAACATTGGAACAAATTGTGAAATGAAGTTTTGAGGTATTTGATGGGCCACACTGGCAAAGTATCTTGAAGAAGTTGATTTGAAAAGAACCTGTAGAGGTTTATTTTGTTGCCATAATAATAATCTGGATTTGATAAGTGAAATTATGGTGAAGCCTGAAGAGACAGGTCACACTAGTAAATCCTTGAATCGACCTATCTTCCCTTTCAGAATAGGGATGTTTTTTCCGTTACTTTCAGTGGATCTCAAATTCATAAGTAAACATTACCTTCCAAAGGAAGTCCATTGTATTTCTATGAACACAAAACAGTTGATTCATTTCAGTATTTGGAGAGGTAATGCAGCATTGGTTGCTGTTGTGTTTCTTGATCAGAAGATAGAAACAGATGTGTTGCTTTATTATATTGGAATTTTTGTGGTGACCAGTTATCATTGTTTTTCGGCTGTTGTGATAACAGCAACAAAGATGGAGACAATAGTCTGTGTGTAAACAATATAATTAGATATGTTGTTATTGCTGCATCCTCACTCTAGGTGGTCTACCTGTGTAGACTCCTAAAGAATTTTGACATTCACTGAGGTAAAGCAATCTTCAGTCAAGAAGGAAGCATATACAAGGGTTGAAGCTATCTGAAAATGTGTATATTCCTGACCAGTATTGGTGGCCTACAACTGACTTCTTTTCAGTAGATTGATAAAATTGCTTTTGCACTGTCTGAGTATTCGAAGACTGTCAGGTAACTACTCCTATGAATACTAACTTCATTCATGTATGTTCTACCATCTGAATGACAAAAACTTTGCTATTTAATTCTTCATGAGCAGTGAATATGGAAAGTGAGAATGGAATTTAGAAATGAACATTCTTACTTCCCTTTTCAGTTTTCTAATATGGCACCCAGTTGGAAATTGTCATTCCTTTGTATTTATATTGTCTTTTTACATTTCTTAAAACTTTTTCGGTTAATCTAAATAGTTTTCTTAATTACTAGAGATGGCAAATAAATGTACCTGTTGAAATTTCACCAGTGATGATCTTTGTTTTTTGCAGTTGGAGGTGAAGCTACAGGTGAGATACATGTCATTCAGTGCTCATGCAGATGCAAAAGGTATCATGCAACTGGTGTCTCAGTGTGAACCTTGTAATGTCATGTTGGTGCATGGGGAAGCTGCCAAAATGGATTTCCTCAAGCAGAAAATTCAACAAGAATTTGGTATGACTTTTCATTTCAACTTGCTCCATTTCAGCTAAGTAAACAATAAATGCAGATGAATTTTTCAGTTTTTTTTTTGTTTTTTTTAAATAAAAATCACTTCAGCTTTGATTTTAATTTGATAAGTTAAAAAAAAATAAGCATGTTTTCCAAACTCATTCAAGTATAGCCAGGACTTTTTTTCTTTTGAGCTTTTTGTATATTCTCTTCAAGCATGAAATTTTGGGGATTCTTTTAGGAAAGATTAACCATTACAAAATATTTTCTCTGCCTATTTTTTAAGAGGTATTAAAAAGTTCTTGGCCAAACAAATTTAAAAAAAAAAAAAAAATTCTGTTAGCAACATTTTGAGAATTGGTTCTGGATGAAAACCTTTCAACAGTCTTGTATAACCCAGTAACAATGACAGTTTCTCTAAATAGAATATAATAGTCTTGATGATGTAAGATTTGGTAAAAGGCATGACCATAGATGCTTACACGAAAAAACTAGTTTGAAATGAATCTTAAGATATGGAAGTTAAATGTTGTTTGGGTACCTCATTTGATGTGTAGGGGGTAGAAATTTAATTAGTCTCAATATATATATACATCTCATTAGAAATGAACATGTTAAATATGCATTTGTGACTTTCAATTCCATGTGTCTTTATTATTTCAATAGAACTTTTTTGTTTTGCATGTGTAGGCATTGATTGTTTCAAACCAGCCAATGGTGAAACAGCCATCATACGAACCATTCACAATGTTCCACTTGATGTTTCTGTCACTCTTCTCAAGAGAGAAGCTTCTCTATCTGGTAAAGCCATACCTATTTTTCTCTATTTGAGTAACAATTGCACCATATTGACATGTCCCACAAATGTGTAAAATGTGACAAGTTCCATTCCAAAATAAATCCTGTTGATCAGTTTGTCATGTATATTTAAAATTAACATTTCCAGCCATAGTAAATTTGGCAAAAATTTTTTTAATTCACTAGAAAGTAAACTTTAGTTCTTGTGATCTAGTATCTTTGAAAAAAATAATCCAATCCTAAAGAAGTGGGATTTGAAATTTTTGATAAATGTTGAATATTTTTGTGGCAGGCTTATCAATTCCTGACCCTAAACGTCCTCGAATTTTGAATGGAGCTCTTGTCATAAAATCCAATGTGAGTAAAACATATTTTCTTTATAAACAAATGTATTTTGGATTGAGTTTAGTAGTTTAAAGGCCACTGTTTTGTTGATCATGAAATAAACTTTACAAAGAAATGATGACCACTGTATAGTTAAATATCCAGTTTCCTTAAATTTTTACTTCTTGAACCAACATGAAAACAATTTTAAAAAAAAAATTTAAAAAAATAATAATTTTTGGTAGCAAATGACTGAGAAGTTCAAATAATTTTCAGTCTTTCCCTCTCCCTCTTATGAAAAGAAAATCTGTAAAATCATTGTGATTGTTGTTAATAGAAAACCCAACTTGTGGATCCAGTTGAAGCCATGAGTGATTTGGGTCTAAGGCAACATCAGCTTCGTTTTACATCAACCATCTCCCTGGATGATGAAGGCCCTGTAGCAGATACAGCAGACCGACTTTACCAAAAGATTAAAAGGTTTGAATTACTATTGTTTCTCACTTCAAATATTTGTTCTATCAATGTTACAAATTATTTTCCCCTGAACAATTCCATATTTAAATCCACACAAAAAAATGCAAGATAAAATTTATATTAATGGCTAGAAAGAATATGCCTTCCATTGATTTGCAAACCAATTCACCCCAAAACTATAAATTTTTAGTCCAAATCAAGATCACTTTTACAGTTCCATTCTAACCCTAGCTATCTGCAATTAACTCCTTATTCAAGATACAGACTTGAATTAGGAGATATTTTTCCTTGCTGCTAGACATAAGTCCCTATCCTGCTTTTTGTCTCATGACCTGATAGATGTTAAGTAACTATAGTGACCTGGTTAATCCCAATTAACCTATCATCATAAAAATTCATCTTTAAATCGAAGTAATTATTTAAATTCTACACTTTAGTACAATTTGTTATCCATTTTAGTTTTCTCAAAATTAATATTGAAGGGGTGTAATTGTTAAAATAAATTTTTCCTTTTGATAACTCTACTCCTTCCACATTTCATTGTTGATGTCAAGCCATTTGTAGGCATTGAAAATCAGGACAAAAAGTAGTTGTCATTGATTTTTTTTTTTTTTTTTTTTTGCAGTAAACTCAAGGATTATCCCATCCATTATTCTTCTGATGGTTCTATTACCATCTCTGATACTGTTCTAGTTCGTGTCTCTGGGGATGAAGAAACAAAAGACATTGCAGTTTCTTGGTTGCACCAGGTTTGTTACCTTTTAAGCATTGTAGATTTGTTTGTCATCATAAAATAGGAAAAACTTGGCCAAGTGAGCAGATTTACTTACAAAACAAAAATCTTATTTCATGAAATCTAACTACCATTATTTGTATTTATTCATTTCAGGATGAAGAATTGGGGAGTTTTTTGCTAAACCTTCTTAGCAATGGCTTAGAGACATAACAGCAAGATACGTGATATTTAAAAAAGAAAAAAATAGAAAAAGATTGTAAATAAATAAATAAAAAAAAAAAAAACTTGATGCTGAAAGCTTATTTTTTTGTTTTTTTTGAGAAGCAAACCATTTTAACAAATAAGAGCAAAATATGTGTAGTTGGATGAATTGACTTTATTAATGCGCACACATCATTCAGCCAGTGTTTATTCAACAATTGGTTCTTATTTGCCTGTCATGCAAGAAAAAAATGTTCTATATAGTGCAGTGCCCCAGTCAGTCTTGACTACTGGTCCAATATATTTAAAGAGCTTACTTTGCAGGAATCATTCATTTAATTACAATTTCTTACCTATCACATTACAATGGTAAACTAAAAGAAAATTGACTGGAAGAGATTTGGTGAACTGATGACCCTTCCACTAAACTAGGTCTTGTCAGGAAGATAAAAATGGCTAGAGACATAAGGAGTATTTATACTGTCAGATGTTAAGATGCTTATATTACATATGGGTGTGGAGAATTTTATATAAATCTTTTTAACCTTCCAATGCCAATGACTATGCAAAGTGGAGGTAAGAAAAAAGTTTTCAAGTTGGAAAAATAAAAAAAAAAAATAAAAAAAAAGAATCTATTGGCTATAAAATGCCTTTGAAAACACCCCTAAAAAATAATACTATTAAAATTAGAGGAATGGAAAATGAGGTTGGGGGTTTAATTACAAATCCCCAAAACAAGAGTTAAACTTGTTGGGAGAGGCTTGGGGTTGCTTATTTTCACTAATTTTATGAGAAAAATGAATACAACACGCAACAGAATGCTGCCTCTGTCTTAGTCATGAATTCTCACAGCCTAATATGGAAGGAGCATCAGGTCAGCATAAAAATCAACTTTTGACAATAAAGCACATTAAATTCTGGATTAGAAAATTGAGGTATGTAAATTTTGAACAGATCTTTATATAGAAAACTAATTCCCTAGAAAGAAATCTCCAGCAGATATGAAATTGATATCAGAGGGTTGGAACCTCTCATCTCTTTTGTACATAGAGGGAAATATTTACATAAAGGGAGGTAAGCGAGAGATTTCTAAAACCACATAAGTGAGATCGATTAAAGGGAATCAGTAAGCAAGGCAATTAAACTTTAAAAAAAATATTCAAGATTTGCAGTTCATCATGAACTCATAAAATGGCAAGTCAAGTGAGTTGATTGAATTATGATAATTTTAAACTGTTGTATGATAAGTCTTGTGAGCCAATTCTAAAAGTAAAAAGTTTATTTTTCATTAGCAACACATTTCTATGCAGATACTTCATTATTGCAAAGATATTAATGAGTAGGGAAGAGATCTGGTTATACTAGAAACATTTAGCATCTTGTAAATTAGATAAAAATTAGTAAAAACAAAAAAAGTCAGTATCTGATAAAACATTTGTTTGCCACAATTTGGACAGATGGAAAAGAGAGACTTAAACACAAAGGAAAACTACAATGAAATTTGGAGCCTCAAGATCCAAGAGAAATATGATTGTCAGCAAACTTTTAAAAAATTTATGCTCAAATCTGTCCAGAATTTAAAATTACCTATACCAGTTTCAGCATCTATTTCCTATAGCCAAGAGACTGAAACATTTATACAATAATTCTAACTGGGTACATACAACACACTAGTTGAACATTTCACTACATGACCTTTTTTTTTTTTTTTTTTTAAATTGGAAATATTTGAAAGTCAAATTCAGGAAATGCATCTCCTGCTTTATATTCACCATTAGTCTTCATGATTTGACAAGATGTTTTAAGATGCAACAAAAATGGTGGGGTGTGGGAGGTCAGTGGGCAAAGTGTAATTATCACATTCAGACAAGACAGCTGGACCAGATGAGAACTGCTCAGAATTGACATGGAACAAAAATTTCCTAACAGTAAAAGTGGATTGAGATCAAAGTTATGGTGATTTAAAAAAATAAAAAATTTACATTATTTTAACAGGAAAAAAACCAAAAAAACTAAACTTTCTAGTGACAGGCAGTAACAATTTTTCTGTTCTAAAAACTTTTTTTTTTTTTTTTTTAAAAACAATTTTCTTGAAAATATTTGTTTCCGTTAAGGAATGGAGTGAAAACACCTGATGGAAATGAAAAAAAAAAAAATCACTTAGAAATAACAGCCAGAAACAAGAGAATTGCTTCTTCTCTACAAGAATTTTCTGCTATTTGGTGAGTGCCATACAACCAACAAACACTGATAACCATAGCCACAAAACAACTGAACTTATTTGGAATTGGGTTAAAGAGTTTTAGAAAATAGTTAAAATTCACTCAAAAAGTGGGGTGAGGGTCAAGATTAACAGGATTGAACTATTATCATTGTATCTGTTGATGAATTTTCTTAAAATTATTGTTGGCTTATAAATTTCATTAACACAAAATGAGAAAGAAAAAAAATTAAAATTCTCAAAATAAGAATTTATCTTCTGTTTAAGCTTCAAGGGCTGCAAATGCAAAGAAAACTTTGGAAATTGAAGCATTACAGAACTAGGGAAGTCTGCAGCTGGAGAAAGAAGCAACCAAACAAAGATACAAGTTTTAAAAAATAAATTGCATTACAATTGAATTTCCTTAAAGCAAAAAGAATAATAAAAAAAAAAAAACAGGTACAAAATAATTTCTATATTATATACAACAATGGAAATTAGGCAAAGGTTTAAACATATACTATAAAAAGAAAATTTACAAATTATTTTTCAAAATCTAAAAAGGTTACTTCATTTAAAGATTCTAATAATCTATAAAGACAAATTCCTGAAGATAAGTTTCAAACAGCCAAGTATTTTTATCAGAATAACCAAAATTTCTTGAGTGAGGATAGTATGAAAATAAAACTATTTATGACTAAAAAAAAAAAAACCTATTACACTTTAGAAAAGGAAAAGATTGTTGTCTAAGAAAATTACTTTTTTTTAAAAAGGACTAGACTTTATTAATAAACATATAAAGAAAGTTGCTTATTTTGTGATTCTAAATGAATAAAATAATTGAGGAAATTTGAAACCAAGTTATTTCAGTGTTAATGGTCATTGAAGCGTCTTGTTTAAACAAGGAAAACAGTTTTGCTAAAGATTTTCACTTTAAAATTTACAAAGACAAACATGAAGAGATTATAGAAATGCTGATACATGATCTAAATTTAATGGCATAGATTAAAACATTTTTTCTTTTAAGACATTTTGTCAAATTTAATATATTAAGATATTTTTCCCAGCAGAATTCAATTCATAAAAAAAAAACTAAATCACCCAAACAGGTTAGTTTTGGCAGGAAAATCATTTGACATTGTTCCAATGGAAATATTAGCTATAAGACTAAAAATAATAATTCTTAGGTTCATAGGATAGATACCACTTTAGTATTGTTGATTTTACAAATACCATAAACCCAGTTGGAAAGAGATAAAAAATTGCCCAAGTTCATATATATTATAAATCTTTTTTTTAAACCTAAGTCAAAATGTTCACCAGGAGAAACCATGATACTTTCCATCATTTTGATTGTAAACCAACTGATTGCTCGACAGGAAAAGCCTTTCAATTCCACCTGCTGTATCTGAAGCAGAACATTTGAGGAGGTATGCAGCAGAAATGTATGACCAAAGCAGACATTATTTTAGTGGGATGGGGAGGAGAGACCTGCCTGAAGAGAAATTCTATGGAACAGCATTAATCAAAATCAGAAGTCAAAGAAAGGCTGTCATCACTTGTTGCAAAGAAATTTCACGATGAATTCTTTCTGTTTTACTAAGAACATTAACCAATATCTCTCAAAGAAGTCAAGAAAGAGAAAATTTTCTGTAAAAAAGATAGAACATCCCTCTTCCCAAATTGTTTTGATTGTAGTGAATCATACAACGCAACAGGTGCAATATTGAAATTAACAGATTTGTCAGCAGATGAAATTCTGTTAAACAAAATTTAAAATATTTTTCAAGTTTTTAGTCATTGTTAAAGGAAAGATTTATAAATAAATAAAAAAAATAATAATTTATTTTTACATTTACAATGTACTTACAACAAAAAAAAAAATCCAATGCAATTTTATTTTTTTTTACCTTTCCTATTGAAAGACAAGATTTTCAATTTATGCATCTTGCCTTTTGGGGGGGGGGAATGTACATAACTTATCGGAATCAAGAAAAGGCCAAAGATTTAAGCAAAGCTAAAAGAAAAACAAACCAACCAAAAGTGAAAATTTCTTATCCACTGCATAGCTAAAATTTGTAGTACTCTAGATAAAAAAAGTGATTTCTTTTCATTAAATTCAGTAAAAAGAAAATGGGAAAGCAGTTTGAATCAATTCCGAGTCTCTCCTTCCTGCCCATTTAGGGAGAGGAATTGAAATTCAATCTTCATGAAAAATGAGGGAGAGGGTAAGAAAACAGGATTTGTTGATGAGAAGATTTCACTCTGTCAGTCAACAATCTTGACAAAGGAGAAATGATTTTAAATAATAATTATAATACTGCAGCCATTATTCTGTTTGTGAGAAAAGAGAAAGCAAAGTAATTCCCCTCCCCGGCAGTGTTATGCTTATTCATTACAGGTGAATCATGAAAAGTTTGTAGTTTCTATCAAAGGGATTTCTATCTTAGCAGAAAAAAGGTAAAACTTGGACAAAAGTTTATATTCAGGGGTGTGTGTGTGTGAGAGAGAGTAGATAAGGGGAATGCCACAAAGTTGAATGCAGTCATAAGGATTGAGAGAGAAATAAGAATGGTTGAACACATACTCACACACACAAACATGCACCATACATGCACAAGTTGTTCTGTCCTTCATTTTTTTTGTTCCTCCCCCCCACCCACTCACCGGGTAACGTTTATATCTGAATTGAAAAGATTTTTATGAAGATCTTGTATTGAGAAGTCCAGTGAAAAGTCTAATGGCTTAACTTCCACAGCATTCGTTCGATCACGAATCCTATTCCAGTCCTGCAAAATGTGGCTGTACTCCATCATATTCTCCATATCTCGTCGACTGTGGTACAAGTGTAACAATCCCCGATAATCATACTCAAGTCCACTGTATCCAGCACCAAACAATTTTTTGCCTAAAATAGGAAAAAAAATCATGTAAAGAGTAACAATAATGTAGAAAGTAGAAAGAGTCAGTAAAAATCATATACCCTGCCTTTTTCTTTCACGATAAATAAGACAATTGTGTTGCTGTTAAATATTTAAAGGGTTTTTAAAAACTCATTGGATTTTTCTATCATCAATGGAGGAAAAACCCAATAAAATAAAGAGTAAATATCTTGGGTAACATGAAAATGAATTAAACATCAAGAATAAACAAAACCATGTGAAAAATGAGACATCATTACAGGAAGCTTTGAATTCATGTAAAAAAAGAAAAAGTATTAAGTAAAAATGAATAGATTCAGGAATATCTATATCTATAATTCTCAAAATGTGTGATCGGATGTTATTTATGCATTTCCACAGTTTTCATCCAATTTCGATGAAAATATTTTTTTGTTTGATAGAGAATTTTTCAGTGCAAGTTTTGAGTCCAAATTGACTGGAAAAAATTACAACCATGAAGGCGAAAAATCAAAAATCTTTTTTGGGCTGACTTTAAACTTAAACTGCTCCAATTGAATGTCAAAAATTCCCAGTAATGGAAGACCTGGTCAAAGACGGGTTATACTGCTAGTCTTTTAATATATGAAGATTTGGCTACTGTTAATTCTTTAAAAATATGCTTGACTTAGGACTAATATTACAAAACAAGATGACATCAACCAAAGTTCAAATTCTAAAAACTTAAATGTAAATAAGAGAATTCAAAGAAAACTCACCAATTTCAATAGATCTTTTGTATAAACTTTCTGCCTCAGTATGATATTCCATATCATAATTATACAATGATGCAAGATGGCCAACTGACAGAGCCACTTCATAATCTTCTGGTCCCAATAATCTTTCCTTAATTTCAATGGCCTTCAAATGATGAGCTTCAGCTTGCTGTAATAAGAGAAATTAGAAAAGTGTAAAAACTAAAAACGTAAATTTACTTATTACTGTAGGGATTTACATAAAATCCCGTTCCTAGCAGTCAGATGATCGAGGTAAGTTATTGCTCTTGGCCTGATAGAGAAAGGCATCAGGGCTTTAAACATGTCAGATACCAGATGTACCATGACCAACATTCATTCATACACTTGTTAAATAAATATACAATGAGGAAGAAAAGATATTCTTAAGTATTAATCAGCAGCATCACTTCTCTAATGACAACCACTCATTCTAAGTTTATGTAATGTTTTATTGGGTTACTTACATTGTTAATAAAATGGTGAACAATATTTTTAGTACCTCATACTTATCTATTTGGGAACTATGATGTAATTCGAAAATATGCTTTTAAGTAGGCGCCCAAGGAGGTCGTCAGTGATGTTTTGATTTGGTTCATCAGGGAGTTTCGGGTCTTTCAACATCATACTCCCCATCACCAAATTGACCCAATCAGGGGAGATCAACCCCTGATTCCCCTTTCCAATTAAACGCTAACAGCTACTCTGGCCTTTTTAAAGAATAAGAGGAAGAAAGACCACATATTCCGAACATCCGATTGGATGTTTGTAACAACCAATCTGTTCACATGAAATATCTTAAATGGCCTCTTGGTGGGGACTGGCTTCTTTTCTTATGGGTGGATTGTTGGAGGATGGATAACCGAGGAAGTAATCTTAATAATTTCTAAATCTTTCCCTTTTCCTTAAGTATTGTATGTTTTAATTATTTGCCATTTTTATTTTATTTGTACTTTTTTTTTTCTTTTCTTTTGGCGGAAATACTTAAACTCAACCCTATTATCACATTTTATCGTTTAGCCTGTTTCTTAACATTATTGCATGTTAACTTTAAATGGATGTATTCACAAAATTAAGATAATAATTGTCCATAAACATGGCATATATATATATATATATATTTCCCGTACATACAAAAATGAAATTAAAAATAAAATAAAAGTACAATAAGCACTATAATATTCCTTGACATTGATTTAAACTATATACAAATTTGAAGTCGTTAAATATAATAGACGACGAAATGATCGACAACCCAACAATACAAAATAAAAATGTTTACATGTTGAGACCAATTATTTTTCATTTTAACAAAGATATCAACTTGTCATATGTGAAATATAATTTGATTTATGGTAAGAAAGATGCATTTGAAACATATTCAGATTATGTAGTTGAAGATCTAACAAAGAGTAGTCTAAAGAGATTCACAAAATGCTATAACATCTAAATTTTCCATGTATTTAAAAGTGAATTTTTTTCCTCCCTCACCAGCCAGATATCTTAAGTTTATCTTCGTGTTTTATTTTTAATGTTGGAGGAAATAAATGAAAATGTCTTGTAAATACATTGCATTCTATGTAACCAAGGAAAAGAAAGCACAACTTTTGTATTTTCATAGAAGATGAAAAGTGATTTTATTAATTAGCCCTTTTACTTTTGAATTCAAATGTTTATCAATTTTTTGGTTTCATATCAGATTGTAATTTCTGGTCTGCAAAATCCAATAGAAAATATACATACTATGAAAGCAGGAAACTGCAAGGAAATTGTTTATTATTACTAATGAAATCTCATCTTTGTACAGATGGACAGGTTAATAAATTAAAGAAACTGATTGAACAAATTTTAGTCATGTTTGATTTGAAATTCTTACCTTAAATTCATGCATTGATTGATAAAGACGGCCCAAGTTGCCATAATGTTTGGCTGTCTGCACGTTGCTCTCTCCAAATGCATTGATGGCAAGTGTCAGGGATTGGACATGCAGTTCTCTGGCTTCACGCAATAATGGTTCTCGTACACTCTTGTCTTCATTGTCAATAGCAATTTCTTCAAGAATCAAAGCTGTAAAGAAAAAAAAATCCAAACTTCAAAATATTTTTAACCAAATTTGAAGTTGTTGTATTAAATGTGGGCAATAAGATCAATGCCACTTGAATTTTTTGAAGAGAGAGTTTTCAATGTTTGTAAATCTACTGAGGTAATAAAGAGTAAAGAACTGAGACTAATGATAGCAACAAGAGAAAAAGTGTCTATCCAATACAGATAAAGAGTAGCAAATGCAACTCGGTGTCCTTGGCAAGTCTACGTTCACTTTTGTTTGACTTATCAAGGATATTATAGTTAGAATTTTTCAGTGATTCTTCTAGCTATTTTTAAAAGATATTTATTTTATTCAAGAAACATTCTAAAGTGTTTTTAATCTAAAACTCAATTTTTAAAAGAAAAACTAACATTTTTACCTTTTACTCGTTTTGATGAAGATAAAAGTAAGTGATCATTGGGTAAAATCCGTGATAAAATTTCAATGGCCTTTTCAGCATGGTTCCTGCAAAAGAGAAGAATAAAAGATAAATGAACTATTTGAAGAGGTTCAAAGTGTTTCTAGTAAGACTAAAAAGTTTTTCAAGAGTTTGTAATTAAGTAGGATATTTTTTATGTGATTTTTTTCTTTTTTTTTTTTTAAGAAGAAGGTATATCAATATACAGGTATTTTGTTTTATATTTGTTGGAATTATATTTTTGTACATAACTTGATTTCTTTCAAAAATTGTAATATACTGTTTGGCCCAACACTGTTGAAAAATTAGGTTAGTTGTTTGATAATACTTTAAATGAACTTGGTTAAAGTCAATGCAATTTATCAGTCTATGTTTTATTGTATATGGTTCCTAACATGCCATTAACATTGGAGGTTTCTCCTTTTTGGATACCAAAATTAATTGCATGTTTGTATTCAGAGTGATTAGGCTGTGTAGTATTTTGTTATTTTTGAATATGGATGCACTAATTGCAGCTCAAGCAGCTTAATTGTTTTTGTTATTGAAGAGTAAGTGTTCTCAAAGCAAATTTGTGGCTTTCACAACACAAAGAAAGAAAATCACTTGTAACGCGTCAGGAAAATAACTCACGAACGCTGTTCCAATCGCACCGCTTCCTGAAGAATGGATGACATGTGCCTTCGTTTCTGGATTGCCCAGTCATGTTAAGCAGATACTCCGCGCATCATCCAGAATGGAAGACCTGACACTCAATCAATTGTTGACCAGAGCCCGTGCTGTCATGATCGGCGAAAAGAGGCTGATGAACCAGTGGTTTGTAGTTATTCAACCAATTGAAGTCAAAGAAGGTCCGACCCCAGCCATTCGTCACCATGGCATTGCCACCTGCTATCGGTGCTCTGGGCCGAATCATTTTGCCAGAGACTGCCGCTATCAACGACATCTACATTGACACCATTAAGAAAGAGGTAGAGACGGTAGGACATGTCTGTGTAACATATCTCGTTCACTACAGTTATTGTATAAAGCATTGTGTTTTGTGTTTACCTCTTCCTTTTCTCTTAAAATGTTTCATATGAACATATGGGTATTGGGTAAAGATTCAATATATGTAATATTAATTATTTAAGATTCGTTTGGACATTCCAAATAATTATACTTGCTGTATTATAATTTTAATTTAACCATATATGTTAATATCTAGTCATGTGTGCTAAGAATATGCTGTTATATTGTTGTAACCTAGGAAAGGTTACTAAACAAGAATAACCAAAATGAAAGTTTGGAAATGAACAATAATATTTATAACAGAAACAACATACAAGATTCGCCAGTGGCGTGTAGTAAGTAATCCACTGCTAGAAGTGAATGCCAGTGAATTCCACATTGAAGAAATTCACTAACCGTGGCACAAGGCCGAATTTAATGTGGGGTGAATAAAGCTCGTAGGCTCAGGCAAAAATTCCCCATAGACCCCGTTTACACAGTGTCAGGTAGCTGTCTACCTCCCCAGATGAGGCTTTGCCCTTCGACATAGCCTTGTCTGGGTTCATCTCTGCCCGGAGGCAGAGAGTTTGACAAGCACATTGGGAAGTGAATATACGTATGAAGATATTCAATATTTGATTGGATATATGAAGGCCAAGTTTATTATGGGGGTGTCTGATTTAAAGGATAATTTTCAAAATTCCCTGAATACCCCGTGAAAATGGGGTCAGGTAGCTGTCTACCACCCCAGACGAGACTCTGCCCTTCTCGCATAGCCTTTCAAGGTTCCTATACCGGAGGCAGCAGAGAATTTGACAAGCACACTTTGGAAATGATGTGAATCAACATACAGTATATTCCACTGTATTTATAAGGATTGGGACATACCCATTATAGTCCATTGGTATGGTATAACATCCTCCACCTTTTGGATTTACTCTGTACAGAGTCAATATTTTTTTTTCTTTTTGGGTTGATTTCAATCATTTCCATATTCCTTCTTTTTCTCTTACTATATTTTTTTTTTTTGATTTCTATCTCAGGAGCATCTGAGGGATGGGTACATCAAATATATAAAAAAGAACCTCCATTAGTTCAACCTCGTCTGGAGTATTCTCTTCAGTTGAATACCTACTTTTTATTTGATTATAGTGCTTTTTGTGCACTATTTCTGGTACTTTGACTAGATACACCATCCTGCCAATTCTTTGGATGATAGTTCTGACTTCCCAATATGTTTTATTTGTCTGATACATCCAATAAAAAACCTTCTGACCAACAGCTTTTTGTACTGCACGATCATTTTTTTTCATACTGGGTAGCAGTTTGTCAAAAACTGATCTAATTTTCCGCGCAAATTTAATTTCTGCTAGAGTCATGGTCATTTGGAAAAACTGTCTTTGACAATCAAATAATATAATCCATTGGGGTATCCCTGCATGAGTTCAAAATCCTCATCGCCAAAATATTGTAACCTAGGAAAAAGTTACTGAATATGAATAACCAAAACAAAGGCTGTAAATGAATGATAATATTTATAACAGAAACAACATACAAGATTTGCCAGCAGTGTGTAGTGAGTATTCAACTGCTAGAAGTGAATCATGTGGCACAAGGCCAAATTATTGTGGGGTAAACTGAGCCCGTATACTTGGGCAAAAATTCCCCATAGACCCTGTAAAAATGGGGTCGGGTAGCTGTCTACCAGCCCAGATAAGACCCTGCCCTTCAGTATAGCCTTGTCTGGGTTCCTCCCTGCTTGGAGGCAGAGAGTTTGACAAGCACACTTAGAAGTGAACTCCAGTGAACCAACATACAGTGTATTCCATTGTATTTATAAGTATTGGGTCATACTCATATTCTATAGGTACAACATAACATATATAATGACAATTGTAAATTGATCTATTTCATGTAGTTTCTGTGATATTATTGTGAAAAACAAGTGTTACTGTCTGAATTTTACTTTAGAATTGCAGAGTTATGATAGGTACCTAAAATTCTTATTCAATTGTAAATATTGATCTTTTGCTATTACTGCTTGTTTAATTGAAATTGTACTAAAAAAATAGGTTGAATAAAAATTGGAAAATTACATCCACGTTTGACAATAAAAGAAGAAAATAAATATACGTTTCTTTATTTTGATAATGGAAAGTGAGACAGAAGTGCATAAGAATGTAGAAGAATTTATAAACATTGTAAAGAAAAGAAACTTAACTTTAAATAATTTTAAAACTACATAAAAAAAAAAAAATTACTATACTGAATACTTACTTTGGGATATTGTGTAGGAAATGGTATTATTAAGCCTGACCTGGAATGGATGAAGCCATTACAAGAGATGCAACTTCACGAAGATAGGGGAATGCTGGCATATTATGCAAAATGGATACCTGATTTTTTTGGATAAAATACACTCTTTAGTTAAAGTTAATTATTTCCAATGAATGAGGAAACTCTATGTAAAGCAACTTTATGGGTTACTGATAAAATATTACTTTTGGAAGCTGATTGTGATGCTTCAGACTATGCTATATCTGTAGTATTAAGTCAAAATGAAAGGCCTGTTGCATTTATGTTCAAAACACTCTAAGAGAGTGAAAAAGGATATAACACTGTTGAGAAGGAAGCTCTGGACATAATTGAAGTCATATGTAGATGGAAGCATCTTTTGTCACAATGATGTTTTATACTACATACAGATGTTAGATCAGTATCATTTATAACAGAAAGTGCACAAAAGTGAAAAACGACAAAATCAATGAATGGAGCCTAGTGAACTAAGTTTTGACATCACTTTCTCTCATGATTTTGTGCATCTGTAAGTTCTCAAACTTCATCACAGGTGCATTTGCATGAGAAATTATGCTTTTTGTATGATCAAAAAATCTTCCCTTTTCAACTGAAGATGTTAAGAAAATGTGCATGTTGCATGGTTTGCGCAAAACTTTGAACCTGAATCTTATGGCAGGAAAGTGAATGTTGTAGCCATTTGACCACCTACCCGAATACTTTTTCTAAAATATAGTTAATAAAAAAATTCAGACTTTATAACTAACTGTGGATCATAAAGTAGTACAAGTTAGGACTTTGTTTACTGTTTTTGTAGTATTTTATTACAAATTTGTGTGTGTATGTATGCATATGCAGGGTGCGATGAGTAAATTGTCGTTTAATTTACGCAAAAATGAAAATAAAGCTGACGTCACATATTAACAGATATATTTACCAAAATTACACAAAAATATCTTGAAATACTAAAGAGCAAATTTATTCAATAAAATCGCCACTGGCTTCAAGATGATTTTGGAATATCTTGCAACTCTTCTGGACAGTCTCCTTGTTTAAGTGCTGAATGCTGCCATAATTCTTGCCTTCAGTTCATCTTTGGTGTTACAAGGAGTTTTGTTGGTCTCTCACTCAACTGTGTCCCACACATAATAATCAAGGGGGTTGCAGTCTGGGGAGTTAGGTGGCCAGATGTATAGGGTGATGTGGTCTCAGAAATTATCTGACAGCCATGACTGGGTTCTCTTGTTTGTGTGGCATGGTGCAGGGTCCTGTTGCTAGACATAAAGTCTTCCAGCAGTCACCTTCTTTATCCAGAGCAGCACTACTTCCTCAAAGTATTTGATGTAGGCCTCTGTATTGAGTCTTAGTCCCTGTGGGAAGATGAAAGAGGCGTAATGTCACCATCACTAGTGATCACTTCAAACACCTTTGTAATCACCATTAGACTCATCCAACTCTTTCTGGATCTTCTGCACTGTCCTCAGATTGACACCCGCACACTCTGAAATGTTCATAGTGGAGCTTCCAGCATGAATGCCAAGCAGTACAGCATGCCGTTTCCAAATTTCTGACAGTGAATTGTATCATAGTGTTCTTTTTCTCACAAATGGTGCCCAACAGACCCTACTATATTGTGCAGTCAACAAAGTCAAAAACAAACAACATGCATGCGCAAAATCAAAAATATAAAATGATGACAATTTACCCCAAATTGTTGTATTCATCTGAAAATTAAATTTTTTACTTGTGAAGTGAAAAATTTTATATATATATGTAATATATAAATGTGGTTTGACTTTCTGAAAATGTTGGATTAAAAAATAAAATTTAAATTTTTATATAAATTTTTCATCAAATGTGGCATCATTGTTGGTATTGAATCCTTTAAATGTGAATTTTTTCAATGGGCTGGATATGTCATCAGAATGAAAAATGATCAGATGCCAAAAAATCTTCATGTATAGCCAACTTTTTTCATGGTAATTTAATGAATACCTCTGTCAATACCGTTACACTTGACATAAATAAACTAAAAATACAATTTAATAACGGAAAACATCTCTATAGAGGAGTTAAATTTTGCTGTTGCAAAGCAAGCAAACTGGAGAAATAAATACTAATGAATATAACTAACTTTGAAAAGAATCGTCTCAATCCATCTGAGAGAAATAACATAAATTGAGGCAATATTATCATCATATATGATAGATCATGCTTCATATATATTATTTGTGGATTTGTTTGCAAGTTGTTGTGCATGATTGTTGTCTCAATGAAAGAAACATAAAATGAACTGAATTTTGTATTCATATGTATAAAAACAACGGGGGAGCCCATATCATATATAAGAATTAATGGATTTTGTTTTTTGTAATCCAACATTTTCATTACTTCAAATGTTATTTTTAGTGGATCTGTGTATTTGGGTAGATGCTCTGTTTTATTTCAAACTGTATTTATTTTGTTTACTGGTCTGAAAACTTAGAAAATGTACTCTCTAGTAGGATTCAAACCTGTGTCTCCTTTTACAGGAGGTATTGCCATCTGATCTAATATGCTTTGATTTGATTGATTTGTTTTCTGCAGGTTATTTAAAGCCAGAAAATATATTTAGATTATAAGAATTTTTTTTTTTTTTTGAAATAATGGTTTTGTGATACAAGTCCTATGAATTAACCCATTATACTACCTCTACATCCAAGCTTATATCACCTAGTATTCCCCCAGCAGTCACTCATCTAACTATTGACCAGGCTCAATGTTGCTTAACTTTGGTGATTGTATGGAAACTGGTGTTTCAACTTAATGTGACTGTTAGCTTTTAACCACCAGGATTTTATCCTCTAATACATGACACCATCCACTCTAAAAGGTGGTCTCTTTGACGTAGGGTGTCTTAATACATGAAAATAATGTTGTTGAATCCTTAAATTTAGCCAAGAAACCAAGTTGAAAAAAAGAACTTGGTTTTGAAGTGAAAGTCGAAAGAAATGTTATTAAAAAAAAGTAAAAAAGTAAAATGCTTACTGTGCATTTCTGAAATGTCCTGAACTGTATTCATGCACATATGAAGCATAGGCAAGATCTTCATTAGCAATAGCCACATGAAAGTTATTTCCTCCAAACACAGCTTGGCGAATATCCAATGCCATCTGTAAAGAGAGAATGGAGAATGATAGCAGCTACAGCTTAAACAGTATTTCAAGTTGAGACAATAATTCAGGGAGAGGGAGAATATAGATTACCTGATACACTTTCACAGATGCTGCAACAGAATCTACATTTAATAAGTAAAAACCATAATCCTGTAAAGTATCAGCATATTTGGGATGCCGTTTTCCAAAATGTTCTCTGAAAAGAAATAGAGAAAATGGAAAATTACTTTTTTCTTGCATGCCTTTTGACCAAGTAAAGTATCAAATGATTAAATACAGATGCTGATTAAGCAAAAAGTAAATTCCAATACTTAACGTTTTTCCCTATATATTACAATTTGACTGGAGTATTATAAGATATATAAGAATTTTCAGTTTATCATAAAATCTGTTAAAGAAGATTTATTAAAAAAGTTTACAAGATTTATTCTTCAATTAACTCAAGAAATAATAAGTTATATTTTGAGATGAGAAGTTCTTAAAATATTTTTAAAAATCAGTAAAACAATTAGAATTGTGTTTTTCTTTTTAACCTCAAAAGCTTTCTAACTTTGTTTGAAATTAAAAGACAGGCAGGGATGGAATAGAAGAAATTTGTAATCCATATTTACCGAGCATAGTGGACAGCACTTTTTATTAATTGATCAGCTTTTTTAAATTCTCTTTTGACCACACAGGCCTTCACATCATCAAAGAAAGTCACACAGGATGAAGAGAAAAAATAAATCATGGCAGTCAAAAAAAGAAAAAGAGAAACAATATTGTGAGATAAATTTCCTAAATTCCTATCCTTTAGAATTTTGGATTCTTCACAGAAAATTAACATTTACTTAAACACAAATCCCAAAACGTCATATTACTTCTTTCAATAAAGAAAACAGTTTTTTTATGCAAAATGAGAGAATTAAGTCATAATATTCAAAGTATTTTAAGAGATTCTGAAAAGGTTCATTTATTAAAGGAATTTAGAAATGTTAACATAAGTTGATCATTATTCTTTTGAAATTTCTTTAAAGAAACAAATGTTAAATGTAGTACCTGATATAAAGCTTACATTGATAAAAGACAATTAAGAAGCTTGGCTTACCTTTGAACACTGTCGGAGAACATCAACAATTGTCTGTAAAAAATTAGTAGAAATCTCAAGAAACAATGGCAGAACCAATTGGGTAATCATGTCAATTTGCAAGATTTGAATCAGAACAGATAAAAAGAAATTATTTTAAATCAATTAATTAAAATAAAATATTTTCCTTATTTCTCTTTTCTTTCAATCAATAAATTCACCTCTGAAAACAGGCTAATTTATCCATATCACATATCTACACAAATGGAAAGTCAAAAGGTCACTAAATGAAAAGAGACCTCAGTTCAACCTTGTGTGCTATGCCAAACAAGATTGAAACCAAAGCAGCACCTTGAAGTAGCACATAAAGAGGAAACAAGAAAGTTCTGACAAATTAGTTCCATAAGTCACTGAGATAAAAGTTTTAAAAAAAAATTAAGCAAATTTTTCAGAACAAATAATTGAAGCTTTCAAAACAAATCTGAAGATGAACAAACATTTTGTTTTCTTCACAGCCACTTTAAGCACAAAATGAACAATCAAAAAATTAATTTTAACTTTTCATTTATTATAAGAATAAAAATTATAAAAAATTAATTAATTCTTGAAATTCTTAAAAACAAAACAAAACTATTATAAAAAGTAAGGGTAGATACTTACTCTTGGAGGTAAATTTGGTGAAAGTTGTTCAACTGCTAAATTACAATATTCATAAGCCTGAATGAAAAACATAACTTCAGTTCAGAAAGAAAAATAACTTATTCAAGCAATTTGTAGAAGAGGAAAACAAGACAATTATTTCACATTCATTAAAAAAGAAAATCGTCCAAAAGCAAGTGACATTTAAAAGCCAAGAGACTATTAGACGTGTGCAAAATCTCAAATTGCTATAATTCTTCTTCAATCATCAAGTCATTTATATTGCTTTCATTGTAAACATGAATTGCTTCACTTTACAAGGAAGGAATGTTCGAGGCATGTTGCATTGTATAATCGAACTTGGATTTGAGATATTTTATTAAAAAATATTTTTGGTAAAATGGTATCAGAACAGTCCTTTTAGAGTTTAATAAAACTTTAAAAAGAATTGCCATAACCTTGATTATAGTTAAAAAGAATGTTTTATTTTCAAATTCGATTAGAAAAACACTTCCATTTCCAAATTCATTGAATGCATCAATCTAATTAGAGGAACTTTATCAGTCCAAAAAATCTTACATGTATAATGAGGCCGCCAATACAGAAACATTTCAAACCTCATCAGGAGTACAAGGAGGAAATGAAAGTCCCAGTCTATTTAATCTTTTCTTATACCCTGTGCATTTACAAGCATAAATGTGAAGAGATGGGCCCTAATTTTTTTTTTTTTTAATTTAAATATATATATGTTCTTAAATAGGTGCCAGAGAGTCATCAGAAATATAAATTGACTTGGTTCATAAGGGAGTTTTGGGTTTTTCAACATCATACCCCCTCTCATTGCTTAAAAAATCAGGGAGATCAACAACTGATTCCTCTTCTGTTACAATCAAATGCTAGCAGAGACTTTCCTATTTAATAAATTGGATGAAAATAGACCATGTTTTCAAATTCATCAATTTTGGATGTTTTCACAACCAATCTACTTTAAGGTCCTTTTAAAAAAATAACAGGACTAAGGTTTTGAACTTTTTTCTTTCTTTTTTTCAATGGAAAGCAGCTTCAGTGGATATTATTTAAAAAATTAGTTTTGATTTGTTAATTTGTATCATAAAATTCTATAACTTATGTGAATATTTCTAAACATTATATCATTGAAGTCAGGACATTATTAGTCTGGGGCTTCCTATTCCTGTAGGAGGGGCTAATTTTAACCCTACTTTCACATTTTTATAAATATCGTTTAACCTGATTATAACATTATTACAAACAGTTTTTTTTTTAAATGGACATATTCTCAAGTTTTTTTGAATAAAAACAATTTGGATTCCATTAACTGTACAAAATAATCCAAAAGAATAAAATACACAAACAATATTCATTAAAATAGACTATTTAAATATTACAAATTATGAAGATGGTTAAAATACAATAAACTACAAAATATGCTTGTAAATAGATTAAATTACAAAAGGAATGGGGAACTTTTGCTGTATAATATATTTCAATATTTTCTTTTAAAAAGAAAATAATATTAATAATTAAATATGAAAGACAAAATGTCTTATGATATATATACAGTTCAAAACCGATGAAAAAATAAGATAAAATTTAAAACATGCTAATGATATAAAAGGATGATAAAAAACAGACTAATTAAATACACTATGGACATGTTATCATTGGCGATTAAAATGTACAAAATTGTGAAATAATCATGTAAATAGGCTAAATTACAAAAGGAAAAAATAGAAAAAAAATCTATTTTATGTTTATAACCGTTCAAAAAATAAATATAAATATAAATGGAAGACAAAATGCCTTGTGATGTATATCACACTTAAAACTGCTAAAAGATAAATAATAAATTAAAAATTACCATGTATAAAATTGGGTATAACATAAAAAAAACAAAACAGAATTGAAAACATTTTTTACAAACTAACATGAATTGAAATAGATTTTAAACCTGTAATACTAATTAATTCAAGTAGTGTATTTAAACATTTTTTATTTATATTATTTCCACATTAAATCTATATTTATATTATTTCCACATCTCCCTCTGCCCCATTATTTTAAACTATTTTGTTGCATTGGAGTCCAAGAACTATCAAATTTAATCCATATCCATTTTACTGTCCTTTCTGCTGTATTAGTTATGGTTTGAATCGCCTTCCTTTTGTTAGCACCTACTAAGCCAATATTAGTTGGAAACACATAGTCTAGGAACTTTGCAGCAAAACTTCTTGCAAACACCCGATTGGCAGACATAATAGACTTTCCATCCATTGTTTTTACAACTTGTTACTAACTCATCATATTTTTGTTTCTTCCGTTCATTGGCTCCTTCTTCATGCTCTTCCCAAGATGCTATCAATTCTTACATTATTACTTTCTTTATATTATCTGAGTTGAATACTATATCTGGGTGTAATGATGTTTGAACAATGTGGCCAGGGAATTTTAGTCTTGTTCCTAAGTTGTCCCTTAATTCTCAGTCTGTTGCCAATGACAAAGTATTTGCTGTATACTTTTTCTTAGGTTTCTTGCCAGCTTTAAGAAACTCTATAGATCTTTTATCATTTAAGCATTCCATACCACATCCCAAAACGAATTTACTAATTGAAGACATTGATCCTGCTTTCCCTCCCTGATGATATACTATGCTGATGATATAGGTATTCATAGTTGGTATGAGAATTATATTGAACAGAAAATCAACACCCTCTACCAAGTGTTCCAAGAAACAGAAACGATGATCTGGAATTGGAATGAAAGCAGAGATGGCACTGACCCTGAATCCATCATAGAAATTCAGGATATGGAATTAGTAAATACTAAACAATTCTAATACCCTGATGTATGGATTAGTTATAACAAATTTAGTACAAGAAAAAAGGAAATTGAACATAGAATAGGCTGTACTAGATATAGTTTCACTCAATACTGCAAATTGCTACAAAACCAAAACATTAACCTGAAAACTAGTCATGTTCTTAAATAGCCTCATCAGATTGAAACTTGCACATGAATGTCATGTATGGTGCCAAACCTGTTCAAAAATATCTAAACTGTCTGCTGTATACAGCTACTACCTAAGATCAATGGTTAAAAATGATTTTGAGAGAGTGAAGCCTGTGGGTCTTGGTGAAGACTATCTTTTTTCAAACCTTGTGAACTGGAATATAGAATCACAAAGAACTGTACCAGATAACAGAAACCCCATGACTTGATGGCTACGAACAGCAGCAACAACTAAAATGGATATCACATGTAACTTGAATAGAAAATAATGACATAATCAAGACACTGATGTTCTACACTACTTCAAACAAAAGGTTGGGAAGAAACCTCTCATCAATACTGGAAAGAATGATAACAGCTACTGGACTTGAGAAACCCATTTTCCTGAAAAATTATTTTAAGAAAAAGAAATCTGGAGAGAAATCTCCAGATTTCCTTGTTTTGTGAATTTTTTGGACTTCATTACCATGATCTGAGAGATTAATTAAATCTCTTTATTGACTCTTAGTAACTTTTTATATTTTTTTCAACAGTGTCTATTAAAATTTGTAATCAAAATGATATCAAGCAGATACTATGAAACCCTGCCAGTGTTTTTAGAATTAAAACCCTAAAATCAATTTGTTGATGAAATAAAAATTGTCACTGAATTAGAAAAGAAAAAGCAAAGTCCAGTATTGGTTGTAAATTTTCAGAATTTCTTAGAAAATGAAAGAAAAAAATGCAATATTTTTTTTTAAAAATTACCCTCTGCAAAACAAAATGATTGAATTGCTCTTTTTTTTTCCAGGACATGTCTGTATCTAATTGTGATTTTTTTGAAAGAACTAAGAATAGGGCAGAGGGAAAAAAAAAAAAAAAAAAAAAAATTCCAAGAAAACAACAATAAAAAAGCATATGAATTATATACTGATTGAGTTTTTTTTTAGTTGTACAGTTTTTCAAATTCTTGTTCTCAAGTGAAATGTCAATGGAAAATTATGAAAAGGAATTTGAAAACCTGTACAACTAAAAAAATATAGTATGATGTTACCACAATCTATATTAATTTTTAAATTACTGAATGGAACTGATTTAGAGCAAAAAAAGTAGATAGTGCTCATAGGTTTTGATTACAGCAAAGAACTTTATTCAAAAAATCTTCTCATTAAAGAAACCAAAAAACAGTTGATTTTGAAAAAGATACAAACATTTTTAAGTGAATCAATGAATACAATTCTTTCTCAACATCAACAAATAGTTCACATTGAGGTGAAGTTTTGGCTCAAATTGTTATCTGGATACTTTTAATTTTGAATGGTTAAAACAAATTACAAGAATGAAAACAAAAGTTCTGATAGCATAAAAACTTCCTCTGGCAGCAGTTCTTATATGCATACAAAACAGAAAATTTTGATATTAATAGAACTTTTATCTATTTTAATGCAACAAAATTTTATTTCTACAATGCAAATTTCAGATTTTAAAACTTTTAAATTGTTTTAATACTCTTGATTTTAAGGTGGAATATTCTAGAATGTTTCAATAATGTCATCAAAGTTATTTTTAGTATAAAAATTCAAACAGAACATTTTGTATTATTAAATGAATTCGTTTTTCAAATATCATTTTGACAACTAATGATTTTAAGAACACTGCAAAATCTATGAAGAAATGGATTGCTGAAAATAATGTAAATATCCTGAAATGGCCAAGTCAGTCCCCAGATTTTAAACCCAATCGAGAATCTGTGGCATTATTTGATAATTCAAATCCAAAAGAGCTCCAACAAACATCCTCAAAGAAGACCATATGAAAGAAGAATGGAACAAAATACCAACTAAAATTTGCAAATTATTAATTGAGAACTACAAGAAGAGGTTGGTTGTTGTAGAAGTGAATAATGGCTATTCTACAAAGTATTAAATGAAAATTATGTATTCTTTTTTGTATTGTTTGAATTTTTTTCACCCATTAAAATGGATAAATGGGATTATTTCTATTAAATCAAATTTTTTCTGTTTTCTCTGCATACTTAGTTATTATGCATCTGTGTGCAGTTAATTATATGTAATGTATGTTTATTCATTAGTTGGGAATACAATAAATTAAAAATTTGGTATGTCTACGAATATTGCCACACACACACACATGTATATGTCACCTCACTAATACATCTGTACAAAACAAAATTAGTAGAATTTCGTTTTTTGTAATGTAGATTTCGGTTTGTTCAAATAAAATGCTCCTTTTAATAGCAGATTTCTGGCAAAAAAATGTCTTTCTAAATTTTTCAAAAAATAAATTTTCAATCCCAATTTTTTAATTCCATTTGGACAAGTTGCATAGATAATGCAATATATTGGTAAAGATACTTTTACATTCAGCTTTTCACAAAATTACTTAAAAAAATAAAAAAAAATTTACACATTTAAAAAGATAAATATTTAAGAAATATTACAAATGGTTCATGTCACATTTAAATTATTTTAATTGTTTGATTTCTTTTTAACTGGTATGTTATAACTATCTTATGCATTTCATTTTCATTTTATTGACAATGAAAGTAAAAAAGTTTGAATTTTTAAAAATGTTAACATTGATGAAAACAACCAAACCAACCTGTTCATATTGGCTTTCAGCAAATAAGAGGCCACAGCACTCGCCATACAACATTGCTTTGTTCACAGGAACTTGGGCTTCTTCAAGTAAGGTTAATATCCTGAAGGCCTCTTTGTATGTCTGGTTAGCTTCTTTATATTTACAACTGCAATTCTGAACATGAAGTAATCTAGAGAGAGCAAAAAAAAAAAAAAATTTTTTTATATCTATGAGACAAAATCAAATTTTACAAAACTCCAAGATGCTGCTCAACACCAAAATATAGGAAAATACCATAGGCTATTAATTATATTTTAATTGATTTGGATGATAGACACTCACATAAAGTGCACATTTACTTCACAATTGTAAGAAATTCAAAATGTTACTCACCTAACATTGCATTCTAATTTTTTTACACAAAATATTTATTTTTTGTCTTCTTCACATAACAACTTTAAAGATGTGTGATTGACTTTTTCACTGCTGAACCAGCCTGCCTCATTGAAAAAACCCGCTGCAAAAAAAGTACCAAGATTTGAGTAATGTAGAATGAATTTCAGAAAAAAAATATTTTTCAGATTGAGAAAATATCAGTTGAGAAAGAAAAAATACTAAAATGATTTACATAAGAATTAGGTTATATGAATTGTTTCTTTGATAACAGTGCATTTTTAAAAAATGGGTAACCTAAACAATTTTTTGTCTTTTTGCTGTTAGCATTAGGAGTATTTTGTTTTTATTATATTCAGAAAGACTGATTTTGATTTTAATCTGATAGCTGCCATATCAGTGTGAATTTTAGAAATTTTGTCATAATTGGTATATCTGTCTATATTTCTGAGATGAGATATTATGTACATTATTTACATTATTTTTTTTATTGTTTTCATCTTTGTCACTATATTTATTACGTTTCAGCCATTGTATGTCTTGCCTTCTTCAGGTGGTTGGAATGTTGAACTGAACCCTTTATTTTATCTTCACTGGGGTAGACTGTCATAGTTTTTCTTGCCATGTTTAATGGATGTCAATTATCAGTTATCTCCTGTTAATTTCCTTATGAAAGGCCTTTCTCCACTGCCTCCACCGGGTATTTGACTCTTTCTTTCTACACACAAATGAATGAAGATTTTTTTTTATAAATTTGTTTCTTTATATGTAGGAATGCAAAAATTAAGATATTAAGAATAATTAAAATAGTTGAAATTTCAGTTTTAAGATATGAAAAACATTATTGCAAAAAAAATTGTTTTTTTTCTACAAATAAAATTATGTTTTATACACTCAAAATTAGATATTAAAAAAATAAAGTAAGTTTTAATCTCAGTTTTAAAAAATGCATAGGAAGGGAAAACTGCAAGTTATTGTTTTTAAACCCAAAGTAAGAATTATTCTTTTTAGTCACTATTATTTTTGGTGTTTGGCCAATTGTTCTTCTGAGAATAAAAATTCTTCTAAACAAGGAAAATTAATTCATTTTTTTTTTTACAAATATCTTTATTGTTTTATCTGCAAAAACAACTTAATTATATATTTAAAATGATTAAAATAAAAAAAATTTCAGTTTTAAAATGTGTATCAAAAAAGAACAGGTGGTACTTTTTGATTTAGAAATATACACATTTTAAAAATCAAATTAAAAAGCTTTTAATTATTTTTAATATTTAAACAGAAATGCATTTTTCACTAAAAAAAAACAAATTTTTTAAAAAAAAATAACTCATTGACTTTCCTTGTTTAGAATAAATTTATTTGCAAATGAAAAACTCTAAATAACAAAAAAACTTATTGAAAAAATTTACCAGAAAAGAATTGTGGTATATTTAATTATTTTAAAATGTAGGGGTTTCATTTTTTGGCCACATCATAAACTAATTTCCATGTTGTAGTTTAAGGTATCTTCTAGTTGAGTGTACAATTTCAAGAATATTGATAAAGATTAGTCATATTGATTTTGCGAAACAAAATAATGTGTAAAATTTAGTCTGGGAAATAAAAACCATATTCCGCATTTTCGGCTGTTCAAAGCAAAATACTGTTTTAACTCACTGTAAAAAAAAAAAAAAAATAATTCAATGAATAAAAGCACTTACAAATTACATATTTAGAAAGATTATTTTCTTTTCTTTCCAGCCATATGAATATTTTTAATATTGGACCATAAATACATGAGAAATTGCGAGTTGAATGGACTAAGTTGCAAATTTATCAATCTCAAATGATTTCAGACATCGACTGGAAATGCTATCATTACACAAGAAAATGAATGGCTTCCTTAGAAAGCAAAAATACTAGATTAAAAACCAAAAATAAAAACGAACTGAAAACCGCGGTATCAAGGAATAAAAACTGGAAACCAATACTGAAACATAAATTGCCAAACCGACCAACTATCTCATTGCAAGTCTAAATTTCTCTGATAGACATAAAATAGGCCAATAAAATTGCTATTTTTTTTTTTAAATGTCCTCCTTCCCTACATAGCCTTGACATTGGAAGTTTTATAGCTGCTGAGGGGAAAAATGGAGTGAATGAATCATATGACTGGTTTATTATATACTTGTTTGCATAAAGAAGCCATGTTGATATAAAGGTTGCAAGATCTGGAGGAGATGATGCTTACCAAGAGAAGTTCCCAGCTGAATTGCTTTGTTCCTGTCACTTTCACAGCTATGAGCTGATGGATGATTGCGTTGACAAAATTCATCAGCAAGGATTTCATTCACTCTTGTCCCATGGTCAATGAGGGCTTGGAAACAAATATGCAATAGACATCTACAAGACAATCACATTACATCACAAAGATTAACAATCATTTTTCATTGACAGTAGCTGATAAAAGATCACATGTAAAAAATTAAAAAAAAACTTTATAGTTAAAATCTGATATGTATTAAAGATAAATCTCAGGTCATTAATTTCTGTAGAAATAAAATCCTCTACAATAAATAAAATAGTTCAGAAATTTATTAAATATTATTCCATATACATTTGTTTTGCTTGGTTGCTAAAAATATTTAATTTGTTTTTTTCTCATTGGCTTTTCATTTCTTGAAGTCTTTTGGGCATTTATCTTTTACATGCCAATTCCTTGTAAGCAATCATGGCTCTCCACAATTTTTTGTCTTTTGTTGTTATGTAACTTCTGACTTTTACTATCCCTGTTTGTCTCCATTTTGTCATCAATGCACACGTGTTCTGTCCATGGTGTTCTTAGCATTCATTGATAAAATCTCATGTCAGTCAACTTCCTCATTATGTACCCTAGAAATTTCAATTGCCCCTCTTTGATGCTAAGTGTGTTTCCATTTTCTTTAAAACTGTTGTTGCTCACATGTTCAGTCCATGGTATTCTCAGCATCCTTCTGTACAACCACATTTCTGTTTCCTCAAGTCTCTGTTTTATCAGTAAGATTGTCCAGCATTCATTGCCATACAAGGAGGACCAATATTATATAACTGGTCAGTACCCTTTTCTTTGTTTCTAACAAATTTTCCCATTTCTTAATACTTTGGTAGCTTTTGGAAGCAATCTTTCATTATTCTAATGTACCTTTGGATTTTGATGTCACATTTTCCACCCTCTGTTAAAACATTTTCTAGATATTTACATTTTTGTACTTGCTTGATTTTGCTATCTCTAATTTGTATTTCATATGTTGGGATACTCCTTTTGTTGACAACTATCTTCTTACAATTGATGTTTTGTCTTTTTTCTTGCTTTCCTTTACTACCTTCTTTAAGAATTCTTGTAGTTTCCTTTGTGAGTCTGCTATTGTGTCATCTGCATATCTAATGTTGTTAAGATTATGGTCACCAATAATGAATCCTGGTAGAACTAATTCTATCAGGATTGTTTTACTGTAAAGGTTGAGTAAGTATGATGAGACAATATATCCTTGTCTTACACCCCTTTCTATTTTGTGTATTTACTGAATTCATTTTCTATTCAGATGCAAATGGTTTGTTCCCAGTATAAGTTATGGATAATTCTAATATCTTTCCCAAGTGTTTCCAACAGATCTGTCATACTTTATCAAACAATTTTGATAATCTATAAAATATAGGTATACATCTTTTTGAATCTTTACTGTACTCTCTCTCATCATTCTGTGCATAAATATTGCATTCCTTGTTTAAGTGTCTTTAACAAAACCATGTTTAGATGAATAAAGATAAATGTTTCAACTTCTTTGAAGCATCAAAAGGTTATTTACAATTTGCAAAAGCCAAATAATTTAAATCCTTTAATTAAAATGGTTTTAAAGTAGCTATTATACAGTTCTTAGTATATGTGTATGTATACATGTACACCCAAAATTAGTTTGCACATTTTAGAATTCATATTTTCATACTTTTTTAAAATTAAAATTTATTCAATCTGAACATTTCTACATCAAATTTTACAGTGACAGATAGCACAAAAGTTGTCTTAATTTCATGAAAATAGTTTATTATAAATTATCCATCAATTCATATGACAGATTGTAACATTTTAAAAAATACATGTTTGTACAGGTTTTGCCTTGAAATAATCAAGTTTTAATAAAAAATACAGGTAATAAATTATACATCATATAAAAATCTTGACTACATATTTACATGCATTTTTAATTTAGCAAAAGGTTATTGATTTTATAATTAATAATTACATGAAAAAAATTCTGAATGCAAGTTTCTTGAACTTTCATTTTATAAGAATATCTTTCAGTTAGAGGAGGGTCATTTATGTGACATTTATCTAAAGGACTCTTTGAAGGTTAATATGCAGTAATGGGTGGTAAAAAGGCCATAAACAAAATTAAGTGTGATCATCACCAAACAGCAGTGAAATGTAACATTTTAATGATGTGCAGATTGTCTTGAGGTCTAAGATTTTATATCTTTAACAAGGTCTTAATAAAAATGCTTTATCACTTCATATAATACCTATACACTCAAGCCCAAGACTGTTTCCCTCTGTCTTTATCTCTCCTTAGGGAGGAGGCCAGAGCTATTAGCTGGGACCTGAGGCATCCCTAAAAGAGTAAGAGTTAAAAGGACTGAAGTAATTTTTGTCCCCAGTTCATGAATGCATGGGCTCCCAAGCTACTTTAATCTCAACCTCATGTTACATTTCGCATGAGTGGGCATGCAGTTAAATCCATGGAGAGAGAGAAAATAAAAAGTACTCTCCAAATAAATTCTAACCCTTATTCTGATATGGCTTCAATATAAAGTCTTACAAATTAACCTTGATTTTTTGGTATACTTCAGTAACATGATAGAAAGAAATTGTAATATGACAACTGGAGTTTATGACAAAACAGAACAAAATATCATTATATAATATTTTCTATCATCAATGAATTTGATTATTCATTATGCCACCTTATTAGGAATCATTTTGTTTATTTGGAGAGCATCAAATTTAACTGCATCAACACCTGTTATAACCAACAGCAAATTATTCCACCTGAAGCTATTTTAACAACAGATTTAGCTTTATTCCTAACTGTTGCTGTCTGACAAAAAATATTTAATGCAGGGAACTAAAAAACATTTTTCTGTAAAGACAGCAATAATTTGTAATTAAAATAAATATCTTAGAATATATTAACATGTTTATGAATTAATTCTGACCTAATAATGAATTTTTTTCCAAAACAGTCTCTCTAAGAATGCATACCAAACACAAAATATAAACGAACCATGTTCAGAAGTCAATTTTAATATATTTTCAAAAGTATTTTGTAAAGTTTTAAGATGGAGATTTTTTCATTGAACAATACTCCACAGGTAAGAAAACCAGTTGATAAAGACATTGACTGAGAATAATAAAACAGTACAAAACGTATCAGATAGCCAGCATAATCAGTTTTCAAAGGAACCATTGAAAATAATTTGAACTAGTATGGTTATATTAGTCACTTTGAGATGTGGCATTGATATACAAACGGGTGCCAAGAATCTTTCAGCACCCTCTTATAAGTCAAGCTAATTGAAAAAAGAAATGCTGAACAATATTTCTATATGCAATTAATTTACTTAAACATAATAAAAAAAATATATCTCTGAAATAAATTTTAAGTGACAGTGAAAATATTTTCAGTCATGATGGGAAAAATGTTCAGCTCAAAGAGTGGTGGTAGACAAACTTGAATAACAATAAACAATTACTGCCATGGGATGAGTGGGATTGAACATTTTTCACATCATGACCAAAAATATTTTCTTTTTATTAAAAGTAAATACAGCACTTTGGTGGAAAAGAAATCTAAACATTTTGGCTTTAATAATGAATTGCTTAAAAAGAAAATGAAAACTAATATGTTCAAAACTTGAATTTCTAAGATTAAGATGAAATTAATTCTGTCAGAGAAAAATGCTTTTTATATTCAATTGTTTTTTTTTTATCTATTTCAACAGTTAATACAGATTTGGAAAATATTTACATATAAAAATATCAATTCAGAGGAATTATTCTTTTGTAGTTGCTAATAAGTGCAAATCTACAAAAGAAAACTTTAGAAACTTACAAAAGTTTTTAAGTTGATTTTGTATGTAAAAATTCGTAGCTAAAAAAATTCAGCTTTAAAGTAGCTAAATTTATAGTTTATAAATAAACTATCTTATTCTAAATGTATATCAACAATTCACAATAAAGACAAAAGAAAGTCAAAACTTACCTTTTGTCAAGAACTTTTAAAATTCTAGCAAAATTATCAATTTCTGCCAAATCTGTACCAAGTATACATAAACTTCCTTTAATGTAGAGCTGGAGTAAAAGGAAAAAAAATTAAAAATATGAGATACATCATTAATTGAAACAAGAAATGAGGAAAATTCTATATCTTAGTGAAAATGTTTTAAACCTGATCAACATGTGTACTAAATTAGTTTTTTGAAGCAAAGAATTGAATAGTGACTTATCTAGTCAGCAAAAAAGCAGCTACATGTTGCTTGCATTTTTTAACAGGTAGCATATTAAAAGAAGTTAGAATGTGTACACATGGCTGATTTGCATGAATCATTTTGCCACATATGCATATTACTTCACCTAATAAAAAATGATATTGAGTTTGCAAGCAGTTGAATTTTTCACCTCAACATTGTTGGTAACATGAAAAAGTAATGACTTTTTATATATTTTTACATATGTTTAGCTATGAGGACCACCTTAACAGGCTTAGCATAGAATTAACTATATGGGAGTCACTAATAAATAAAGAAAGGCAAATGACTGCAAGTATTCGACAGCAGCAGAAGCTGTAACAAAAGAGAAAAGCTTCAGTAAGCAGTTAAGCATGATAACCATCAGCAGTATTCATCAGCAGGCAGGTTAAGTTTAAGGCACCATGTTCTTTACAGAGAATTCTATGATAGGACAATAGCTGAATGGATTTGTAAAATTAGTGACATAGTAATTGTGAGTTCAATCTTTGGGCCGAGCAATGGAAAGAGGACACGCAATAACTGAGCAGTACTAAAATTAAGAACTAGGCAAGATATCTGGTTGGGTATCTGCCAACAAAGAGTGAGGATGGAAAAACCAACAGCACCAGAATCAAACACTGGTTTATGAAGAACATGGCACAAACAAAACTTCTAGATGGGGACACCACATGTACAAGACAAATACAGCTGAGACACCAGAAACTCAAACAAGGTTAGAACAAATTTCAGACAATACTGGATAACATGGATAGAAATCCTCGGTAATGCACAGCAATGACATACATTCAGCATAGTGCACTGACCACACTGCTTCTTCCTGGAAAATGTGCTTGCTTTTTATGGAATCCAAAATATTAGTAATTGGCTATCAAAAGGAATCATTTACTGTCTCAACTATTTCATGAGGAAGCTAGTATATTCTTACTTTCTTTATAATCAAACATCCTGAGGTCCACATTGGCTTTGTTCTGACAGTGAAGCCATTTGCATTCTTTCTGCAGAGACAGCACACTAAATGTCATCGCTTTGACCAATGAGGGCGGGTAGCATTATCAGTAGTGGTTGGCAGCATTATCTGCATTTCATTTCCGCCACAGTCATGTTTAAAGTTTATGTGCACTGTCCGTTAGTGACCTTCACCCAAACATGATCTCTCACTTTGTAGCCAATATGATGCTGTTCAGTCTCAGCCTGGGTATTGCATTAATTCCTTTTAGTCGAACTTTGTACCAATGGATCATATTGGCAGGGGTAGTCAAGGTGACACATCATTTTGGGGGGTGACATTGTACCAATAAACTACTTCCATTATGGAACAGTTTTCTTGTCGTAATTCGTTTTACACTTCGATGGATGTGTCAACAGTGGAACTGGAAGTAAACTCCCTATTCATTTAGAAGTCCCTGAAGAGCTTATTGCAAAATGCTGTATCATTGTGAATGAATATCTCAGTGCGCCAGACTCACAGAATAGGGCCTTCAAGTGGTTGATGATACTTGCTGTGTCTTGCCATTTCATGTGACACCAAATAGCAAACTGTGTAGGCCCACAGTGAATGAGTGACAAGTAGTTTCTGACTTTGTAGTGAGTTATGTGGAACAAAGTTCCTTCTCAGGGTAATCTTGCAGCCACACAGGCATTCCTGTCAGATGTGAATGGACACTGGATATTCAGGTACCCTTTTCATCAAATTATTGGGCGGTTGGTCACCTGACCACTTCCACGAGGCTGTTAACACACTCGTCCTGTCATCAAATTTGGTGCTGAAATTCAGTTCTTCTATTTTGATTGCAGCGCAGATGTAGGGGTTCATCCTTGAGAAGATGGCTTCACCGGACTTGTTCATGCTAACCCCACCCAGCATTTTAATGACATACATCCCATGAGTAGATTGAAGCCCAACAGCAGACTGTTCATGACTAGGACATCAGCTTTCACAGGGCCCATGTCATCTACTGCTGGTGTGATGGTTCCAATACCATGTCCATGGAGAACTTTGCCATCAGCTGTTAGTATAGTCATCTTCTGTTGATTCTAGGTACTACACACTGATCCACTCACAAGAGACCAAGAACATCCAAAATCAACCAGTGTAATGTGTTTGATCCCATTAATTTGAACATTAATTACAGCAAGCAGCACCTCTTTAAAATTGTTTGAGGAGAGGCTGGTACTGATGTTTCACCCCTTTCTCTGTTTCTCAGAAACTTAGAAATGATGTGGCCTATCTCTCAGCATCTAAAGTAGTGCACTTTTGCTTGTACTTTTTGCATGGGGCCACTGCACCCACTCCATGTTGATACTGGCAATCTGTTGCAAAATGGTTCAGACTGGAGCATTTGTAACACCTAGCCACACTTTGACTGGCAAAGTATAGGGGGAAGTAGCGCTCTTATTGCCCTTAACTCATTGTGCAACCACTGCAACGAGCTCTTCTTTTTGTCTGATATAATGGCTTGAGCTCTAGTTAGACGTTAACCCAGAATCATGTTGTCCATTCTTGACATTTTCTGGAGGTGCTGCCTTACGTAGCTTGGCAGTGTGGCCACAAAAACATGTCATTAATTTTTCGAGCGATGCCTCTCCAATAAGCAAGACAAGCTCCTGAAATTCAGCCAGAAACACATCCACTGTTTCATCAGGTAATAGTCACTACATCATGAAGCTTTCAAAAGCCACAAAAAAATCTATTGCAAAGGCAGTTACCAGAGCTCACTTGACTTTCTCTATAACAGACCTTTGTCCTTATACTGAGTTACTTATATACTGCACATTTTTGAGCCATTCAACTATTAGGAGATTGGTGGCTGCTCCACTGAATTCTGGAATCAGCTGAATATTTGTTTGCTATTCTCTTGATGCCAAAATAGCTTGAACTATTTTTTCTTATTGGTTGGGTATCTGTCAACAAAGAGGCATGTCACACCTTAGGAGGGATGGAAAAGTCAGAAGCACCAGAATCAAGCATGGGACTTCCACTTGAGAACACTTACAGGATGAATGCAGCTGAGACACTGGAAACACAAACTAGGATGAATGAATTTCAGATGACCCTGGGTAACATAGATAGAAATCCCCAGTAATGCATGGCAATCACATATATTCAGTACAGTGCACTTACCACACTGCTTCTTCCTGAAAAATGTTTGCTTTTATGGAATCCAAAATATTAATGATTGGCTATCAAAAGCTAGAAATAATAAAACGCTTATCTTTTGGCGACTGTGTTTTTTCACCGACAATCTTCCAAAGCTCATTACTGAAAAAAATGTCTGTTCAACCTTTTTTTTTTAATAATAAAACAAGCAAAGTCAAATTATTTAAACAATAAAAGGTTTAATAGAACAATATACAAGATATTAATTGGCATTTTGACGATGGCAGTACACATTTTATTCACAGTTTCATGTTTCATTCGTCTTTCTGAGCATGCACAAAGATTTAAAGAAACATGGCAATGAAGAAAACAATACTAAAGCCGATATCGGCTTTCTTTGCAAAATCGAACAAAGTAGAAATGCTGAATGAAACTGAGACTCAAAAGAATGCCCCGAATGATAAACAAAGTAATGATGACACACAAAATGAAAGTAAGCCGTCCATTGTATGAGAATTCCGACAAGTTTGGTTGTCAACTTTCGCCTGGCTTTGTTACGATAGAGAAAAAAAACGTGATGTATTGTGATTTTTGTCGTAGGGCTGGTTCAACTTTGGCTGGAAAAACTGATTTTGTAGATGGTAGTACTAAATTTAAATGTGAAAACGTCCTTGCCCATAGTAAAAGTCTTAGACATGGCAAGTGCTGCGACTTTATTATTAATAAAACAAGCACTCAATTGAAAAGTCTCACATTGCCAAGAAATTTCTCGATGCAGAAATCAAATCAAACGAAAAGGATTTGATGGATTTGAAAGTTAAATTTAACACAGTTTATTGTATAGGGAAGGAAGAAATGGCCTTTACAAAACTCAAGCCCCTACTCTTACTTCAATACAAAAATGGGCTACCTGTGACACCTGCATACAGTAACGATGTTAGGTGTGGTGAAATGATGTCTACTATTGCAAGCACGATCAGAGATGAGACATTGGAATCTATCAGTGACTCTCATTATGTGTCAGTTATGATTGATGGTGCCACTGACAGCTCTGTGTCAGAAAATGAAGCAGTTTATGTGAGAACAGTGTTGAATGGCAAAGCAGAAAATAAACTTGTTGAAGTTATTGCCATTGAACATGGCCATGCTAAAGGCATTATCTCTGCTACTAAATCTGCTCTTTCAAAAGTGGGGATCAGTGATGATGAAATGTCATCGAGAATTGTTGGGTTTTGTGCAGATGGGGCAAATGTGAATACAGGACAGAGGAATGGTGTTGTGTCACTGTTAAGGCAGGAAGTTCCCCATCTCATAGACTTTCACTGTATGGCACATAGGCTTGAATTAGCCCTATTGAAACTACAAAAACAGACTCCTATTATGCAGTCTGTCAATGACTGTCTACATTTGATATGGAAGACTTACCACTTCAGTCCAAAGAGCAAGAGAGAACTCAAGATCATTGGAGAAGAACTTGAAGCAAGAATCTACTCACCAGCACCAGTGAAGGGTACCAGATGGATTCCCCATGTAGACAGGGCAATGAGAGTCTTTCTCCAAGGAAAGAAAGATGGTCATTTGGCTGAGGATCATGGTCAATATGCAGCAGTCTACACTCATATGGAAAATCTTGCAGCAACATCATCAAATGCAGACATTGCTGGTAGAGCTAAGAAAATAAACAAGCAATTGAAGGATCTTGTATTCACTGCATTTTGCGTATCTGATCTATTTGGCGAGCTAGCTTTGCTCAGTCTAAAACTACAGACAAACAATCTGATTCTTCCTGTAGCAGTTGCATCAATTAAGGATTGTATGGAAACTGTTTCAAGTATGAAGGAGGAATACATTCCTGGGGGAATGTATGAAAAGTTTATCCTGTGTATTGAAGAACAACAGTCTGAAAATTTGCAGGGTAATCCCAAATTTCAAGGAGTTGAAATGACTGGGAGTCCTGTTTATGAGGCCAAAGAAAAACTAAAGAAGCATGTTGAGTCTACAGTTGACATTACAATCAAAGAACTAGAGTCAAGGTTTCAAAATCTGTTGGGAACAAATACAAGTGTAGATGCTCAAGGTGTGGTGAAAAGTTTCATTAAGGTGTTCAATCATGACACATGGCCAGAATGCAAAAGGGAACTTGTCCATTTTGGAAATCATGAAATAGACATTATTTGTGACTGGTTTGGAAAACCTCTTGTGGCTGCAGGATGCAATATGGAAGTTGTTCAGACGGAATGGAGACACATGAAATTCTTTGTTGCAAATACTTTCAGGGACAAGTCTTATTCTGATCTGTGGCAAATCCTACTGACCAAGGACCCATACAAGACTGACTTCTGCAATGTACTTCATCTTGTGAGAATAATGCTCACTCTTCCAATCAGCTCTGCAGAGTGTGAGAGAGCCTTTTCTGCACAGAAGAGAATAAAGAGCGACATACGGAGCAGCTTGTCTGTACAGAGACTGTCAGACTTAATCTTGCTTTCTTCTGAAGGTCCAGATCTGGCTGAATTCAACCCAGAGAAATCCATTGACAAGTGGATGGCAAACAGCAGGAGAAGGATTGCTATAAAACATCCGGGGGGCCAGGACAGTGTGACTGGCCAGCTAACATTGTGTCTGTTGATCGAAAGTGTAAGGACAAAGCAGTACTGTTTGAAAACAAAAAGATTTAGAGTCACAAGCTATTGATTTGACAATTCAAATTGAGCAAGTGTTAAAGTGGGACTGGAAATTGGAATAAAAAGGTAAATGCAATTCAATATTGGGCAAGTGGAGTTATAAATTTTAAAAGATAAAATTTCAGTTTGAAACAGATAGAAATAAGTTCAATGTCAGTAACACAAAGACACAGTATGTGTTTGCCAGACCATCTGGACATTTCCTTTCCAGTCCCACTTTAAAATCTTAGATCAGCGTTAATATAGTTAATATTTCTGAGTGACATTTACCAACCTGACAGGGAAATTGAAAATAAGGTAAAAACCTGTTGTTAAGAGTGTTACAATAACTGCAAATCATGACTGAATATTTCTAAATGACACTATAGTTTTGCCAGGTAACAGTTGAAGTGAATGTAATGTTTTTATGAGGTTGTTTGTTGTTGTTTCAAGTTTAATAATATTGAAACTGATGCGATCTTCAAACTTGCATTTGTCAGTTGACTGAATTATCCTGAGTGATATTTGCCAGGTAACTGTAAACAGTTCTACAGTTTCTAGACTCAATATAATTTATTTGATGATCTTTTTGTTTGAGGTTGTTTAGTAATATTGAAACTGATGAGATCTTGAAGACTTCAAATTTGCATTTAAATTTTGTCAGTAAGTTTACTGAATATTTCTAAATGACACCTTTCAAAGTTTGCCAGGTAACAATTGAAGTGAATGTAATGTCTTTATGAGGTTGTTGTTTCAAGTTTAGTAACTAATATTGAAACTGATGAGATCTTCAAACATGTATTTGTCAGTTGACTGAATTATTCTAAGTGATATTTGCCAGGTAACAGTACCACTGAATGTAATTGTTCTTGAAATTTCTAAATTTCCTCCCATAAATTTTGTCTGTATTGTCTTAGAGAATTAGAAAATAAAACAAAACTTCACCTGGAATTGTTTTATTCATAACATTAGAGTGAAATAACATTACATGGATTTGGCTAGTAACTTTTCTATTTGGCTAGTAAACGAAAATATTTAGTTGTCAAAGGTCAACTAA